TGAAAAGGATCCTGTGATTTTTGGAAAACATGCCTTGTCCTAGCCTGCAAGCGACAGACGCATTTCCGTCGTCGCTTCTCTCCCTTCTCTATTTTTCGGAGGGAGAGAAGCGACGACCGGAAATGCGTCTGCTGTTCGCAGGCTAGCCTTGTCCTGGTTGCAAGATGATAATATGATTGTTGAGAACTTAAAAAAAGAGGATACAATCTTCGATAAATTTGATGTTAAAGAAGTTAATCAATCACAGTTTACTACTTGGGAAGTATTAAGATCTTTAGTAACAAAATGTCAAAAGGGTATACCTTCCCTTCGGTGATTCATTTCTAGGACTAGGCGTATTCACCAACATTGAACTTTATATTGCCAGGAAAAAGGGCCATCTTAGTGACTGGGAAAAGTTAATCAATCGTCTTACCAATTGAATATTGTATGTAAATGTAAAGATGTTGTATTTTCTATCGACTTAGATAATGGTTTGCAGTTTAGGTTTAGGTAGTAGGTGTGACTATTTGCTATTTTTATTTCTTTTATTTGGTTTTATTTCTTTTTGTTTTTGCCTTTTCCTTGTTAGATTCAATGAGTGTACTCTGTAAAATGAAAATTCCAAATAAAAACTAAAAAATAGCGAGAAAAAGAAATTAAAAAAGAAAAAAAAAAGGATCTACCAGTGGTCTGCTCTCTTTCCTCCTTCCCATCACCCTTCGCTCTCGCCTGCACTTCTCTCGTGAATATCAATAGGAGACCGAGAGATGACTGGGAACGAGCCAAGGCTAAGCAGTATTAAAAGGGGTTCATAATATGCCACTGATTCGAAATGTAGTGGATATTTGTTTTCATGATGTACAGCGTGAGTATGAGGGTTCGAGTGGAGCTCGACAGCGCTTTCTATAATACATGTATTTTGAAGACAAACATTGCTGTAATGTAATGTAATGTATCAGATGTATAGTATTTGTTAAAGAAGTAGCCCGGAGAACACAGTCCCCATGTTACTCTATGATAAAATAAGACCTGCAGGGCCGTGAAAAATACTTTTCAGCCTGTCCCCCTAATCAGAATGTGTTTAAATCTTTGTGATCTTCGGGTCTTGACCAAGTCTAGCAGATCATAAATGCTGTTCGTCTTAGGTCAACGAAGCTTGATTAGAAATAAAACGCAAACTACGGTAACTACGGTTTTGTAGGTTTTGTATTTTCGTCTTTTTGCTGTTTTCTTCAATTTTCTCCACTCTGTCACGAAAATGAAGGCCTACACTGTTTGCGCTAAAGCTGAGGCATCTATTTTTTTGGTTCTCTAGTCATTCAAAGAAATTGTTAAACTGTTGCCAGTGAAGTCTGAATGATATAAGTGAACAAGTGATCGAAAGTAAAAGACTTTTGAAGACAAATCAAGGAGTGTATGGCCGTCTTTTTTCAAATGTGTGAGAAATGTTATCGAAAAAGCTGTAAGTATATGCGTAATAAGTCAGTTTTTTGTCTTCCATGGTTTACAGGTCTAAGAGGCAACCCGTATGGCTCGCGGAAGGCATTGACACCAGGTATCGCGTTTCGGTGGATTGAGCTGGAGCAGGTGGTGATGTATTGATCTTCCAGTTTTTTAAACGAACTTAAATCACCAACTGTCGAGTCCTTTATTCGTGAAACGACAAAAAGCAATTCATTGAAAGGTCTCGCTATGTATTTGAACCTCACCGACGCATGTCAAGCATTGGATGAGGTAAGCAAAATAAGGACTCAAGTTCCCAAAATCGCACTCGTCACCCTTGTGGATGAATCTACGTGTACGTTACAAGAGCTTGCTGCAAATGTACAGAATGCAGGGTACTCTGTGCTGATATATTTAGGATCTGGTGTCTTGGCGATAGTAAAGAACAGTAAGATCAAAGTGTTAATTCCAGTGGCAAGCGGGAGCAAGGAGCATCAAATCTCGGGGCTTTCGGATGCAGATGGGACTTATGTTGAGTTAGGTCTTATAGTTATGACATTTAATACAGACCAACTGATGAAAATGGAACCTTACTTAAAGAGACTATATTTGTGGTTTCTTATTGGACCATTAATTACACTCGAGTGGATGAGACGTACAAGGAAATTTTGTTGGGTGACTGACGGTCCAAATGATCAAGCTGGTGAAGAGCGAGCAACTGAAAACGAAAGAAATACCGCTGAAAATGAAATTCGAACCATGGAAGAAGGTGAAAATGGAACTGAGGAGTCACGTCAACTATCGGCCCTAAATGACCAAGGCTCTTCTGTTATCCAAAGAAGCTGCGAGGAACAACCGTTACTTGTTGAACATACAAGACAACCCCGACGCAGTGGAAGGGTGAAAAGTTTGAAAAAGTTCTTTTACAAAGGGTTATTGTGTTTTTCTTACCTAATACTTATCATTGCAGCTCTTCCAATGGGCATATCTAGTGGAGGCTTGTCCTTTTTTAGATTCGATCACAGTGAAACCTCTTTAGAGGGTCTTTTCCCACTAACACGATACCGTTCCGACATTCAACAACCGAGCTATAGCTATATCGTGCAGCTTTTAACGCGTTTGTTGTGGTCACCTTTTCAGATACTTTGTTTTTTGCTGTACAGTCGGGTAGCTTGCAGTTCCTCTTGGCTTGTTCCTATCAACTATTTAAAACTTATTAGAAGCGACTGGTTTGCTTCAACCAATTCTTTGCTGGTTCTAGCTATAGTTGTGCCCTTATGCACTTCAACATACACTTTTGGTTTTTACGCAACTTACAACTCCGTTTGCACATTGTGTAATCTGCTTTTTATAATAATTTTAAACAAGCACAAGTTTGTCACACGTTACGTTTTCTATATTAGCGTGTGTATGATTTGTGCGTATCTGGAAAGCAGCATCGTTGCCGTGTTTTATTTTGTTCTCCATTCTGAAGGATCCTTAAACAACTTAAAACTAACTGCCCTTCGCACTTTGGCGCTTGGACTTACTTTGAAAGTGAGTTTCAGTTCTTCCATGCACATCATATGAAAACTTACTATGCCGGCAGAATCACTGTTTGAGGGACTTTCGGAGAAATAAACAAACTTTCCTAAGTTTTTCTGATTGAATTCCTATTAATCTACGGCCTCACTGAGAACTGGAACAACGCGATTTAATTGTGAAGTGATCATCATACTTCGCATAAGCAGGAGTAAGTTAGGATAGGATAAGTTAGGACAGATACTCATTTAACAGCGCTTGTAATTTCTAAGAGGGTCAGCGTTCCAGCCCAGTCAACTTTACGAGCGTTTATATCAGGAAAAAGTTGACCCCTTTGCCCGAGTCAATATTGATTCAGGAGGTATCCACTATCCCACGTTTCTACGCCACCTCAAAAAGCTAGCTTGAGGAGTGTTAACACGTTAAGCGCACTCTATTTTCTTACACTGTGTTTCTCGGGGCTTATCCAAAGCCTAATAACCCTAGGCACCTTACATTTGGTTGGGTGTTTCAGGTGTAACTGAATGACTTTTTCCCCTTGTATACGGCGGGAAAAGGAAGAATGTACAAAAGCAATTTCCATATGATATTACAATTTAAAAGATATCAGTTACTGATGTAATGTATAATCGGCTCATATCCAAATTCGTGAGTGGAGTTTTTTCTTTAAGCAAAATAATATCATAATAAAGTTTAGTCTACTTAATACCTGTGTTATAATGGTTTTACCACAAAGATCAATTTCTTTAAGTGTAAGAGATTCAAAGATGACTAGACGCGAGAAGGCGTGTACTGTGCTGTCATAAAACCTAGACTAGATAGAAATATTGTATTTTATTAAAACGAGAAGTTTACCAGAACAGTACCAATTTATGTAATGAAGCACACGTACCAACTCCAACGTACCAGAACAGCCGTTGGACCTCAACCGGCCTATAAAACCTTTGAAGACATTTTGATCGTTCTTCTAGGATCTATTGTAGCAGAATAGTGGGTGTTTTTGTGCAAGTGTTTTGCCATTTCTTTAATAAAGCTTATTTGTGTTCATGTTTGATAATGATGCTTAACTGGTGTTGTGTTACGAACAACATAAAGATGTCTTGTTATTTTTATTGTTTTTATTTGAGCTATTCCCTTCCTTTGAATTTTATCTCCGATAGACGTCTTTTTGTTCTTTGATGATCTCGGTATTTCCGACTACATAAACCGAGCTAGTTGAGGTAATAGCATGTACTGTCACTGTACGGTTAATGTATTTACTGCGTCGATGAATTATTGAACTGACAATGAGCACCGCGGTCACAAACAAGCAACAAAAAAGAAACAGTACACAAACAACAGATATTCATTTCAAGACAAGCAGGTGGAAGGCTTGTGAATCCATGGAGAGCTTTATAACAAAAAGCACTGAAGCAAAGATCTTGCTCGCTAGCTTCACGGAGCATCTGCGTAGACTGCCTTGTGATCGGACGGCAAGTTAGTCAATATCGACGGGCAAAACACTCCCTTTGACTTAACAAAAGATATATTTGGAAGAGTAAAACGAAAATCATAAAAAGATCAACACAGCAAAAGTACAGAAGGTTTCATCGGCGAAACACGCCGCTTTCCAATGTTGTTCAACTGTCGCGTACCTGTTGAACTGTTAGGATCACGTGCGTTCGGAAGCTTGGTAATATAGTATGAAGCGATGCATCATGGGATATATGAAATTCCCCTTTTTATGGGCGGGTGACAAACAAAGAACATTATGGCATGTTATGGTATTTCTGGAGTGGTCAATAGGATTTTTTCTCGCATGTCTCTTAACCTGAGATCAGGCCTTTTTTGTTGTTGTTGTTGTTGTTTTTTTGCTTCTTTATTTCTTTGGCTCGAGAGGGGAAAAAAATAACGCCCTCTTCTCGTGAGAGACTTAAAGGGATAATAGGGAGAGGGCATGATCTCAGGCTACGTAAAACTACACTTTATTCGCTTAGCTATCGCATTACCGGGCATGACTCGATCCATGGAAAAAAAAGCAATTCCGGTATCATGTGAACAGCCCGCTTTCAAAGATGTCGAAGAAGTGCTTCGTAATCAAGAGTTGCCTTTACTTCGTCTGCTTCGGGGTCATATCCATTATGCTAGCTATAGCGCTTTCTGATTGGGGGTATTACGGCCCTGAGCCGATATTGAAGGTGTGGAATGCGAGGAAACAGTCAACAGAGGAAATGTTGTTAGACAGCACAAACGCTGCAAACGAATTTATCTCACCTTCTGTCAAGTCCTTTATTCGGGCATCAACAACAGACAATTCACTGAAAGGTCTCGCTGTGTATTTGAGCCTCACAAACGCGTGTCAAACACTGGATGATGTAAGCAAAGCAAAGAATCAAGTTCACAAAATCGCTCTTGTCACACTAATGCAGAACAATCAAAGTACATGTACTTTAGAAGACCTTGCCAAAAATGTACAAAATGCAGGTTACTCTCTGTTAATATATTTTTGTGCTACACCGCCTTTTAGAGTGAAGAACAGTAAGAACAAGGTAATGATAATGATCCCAGTGGCAACGGTGTACGACACCAATGTAGGTGAGGTAAAGAGAATCTTTTCCCATGCAGATCGAACTGATGTTGACATTGCGTGTTTGCCCCCTAATGGTCAACAAATAGATTATTTGAGGAAAATGGAGTCTTATTTAAAAAGACTATATTTTTGGTTTCTTATTGGACCTTTAATTACTCTTGAGTGGATGAGACGTACAAGGAAATTTTGTTGCATGTCTGACAGTCAAGAAGAGCAACGGGTCGGTGAAGAGCGAGCAACTGAAAACGAAGGAAATGCTGCTGAAAATGAAATTCGAACCATGGAGGAAGGTGAAAATGGAACTGAGGAACCGTTGGCCTCAAATTACCAAGAGTCCAGAGGAAGAAACCCAGGACGCGAAGTTTCGAGCCAAAGCAGTGAGGAACAACCTTTACTTGTTGAATTTACAAGACTACCACGACGCAATCGAAGTGTGGTTACGAGTTTCAAAAAGTTCTTTTGCAAAGGGGTGATGTGTTTTTCTTACCTAATGCTTTTTATTGTGGCTCTTCCGATTTCCATATCTTTTGGATGCTTCTCCTTTTTTAGATTTGATCACAGGGTATTTCCTGCTATGTTTTTTCTTTTAGAAGACATGCTTCAAACATTTTTGTCCATTGTTCTGTTTTTGTGGTCACCTTTTCAGTTATTTTGTTTCTTACTGTACAGTCGGTTGGCTTGTACTACCACTTGGGTTGTTCCTATCACCTTCTTAAAACTTATTCGTAGCGACTGGTTTGCTTCAAACATTTCTTTGCTGGTTCTAGCTGTAGTGGTGCCATTATGTGCCTCATTAGGCACATTTAGTTTTTTCGCAACTTACAACACCGTTTGCACAGTGTGCAATATGCTTTTCGTAATCATTTTAAACAAGCACAACTTTGTCACGCGATACGTTTTCTACATTAGCGTGTGCATGATTTTTGCCTATCTGGAAAGCAGCATTGTTGCCGTGTTTTATTTTGTTCTCAATTCTGAAGGATCCTTAGACAACTTAAAACTAACTGCCCTTCGCACTGTGGCCATTGGCCTTACTTTGAAAGTGAGTTTCAGTTCTTCCATGCACATTGTATGGAAACTCAATAAGCCGACAGAATCCCTGTTTGAGGGACTTTCGGAGAAGTAAGTTTTGCTGATTGGAGTTCTCTGATCAGAGAGTCTACAGTCTCACTGAGAACTGTGGCAAACGGTTTGTGAATTGATAATCATGTACTTAGCATAAGCCAAAGTAAACGGTTAGGATAGGAAAGATGCTCATTCGATCAGCTCACATCCAAAACCTGTGAGTAAACTATTTGCTTTGAGCAAAACAATGGGCTTTTGAAAAAAAAATCCTGGCTTGCTTTATTCTTTAAAACAAAACCGAAAGAGTTGCGGGACTTAGCTTCCGCCTTCAACATGTCACGCGTTTATACGAAACTGTCACAATAACTTCAACTCCAATAATCCGCAAACGCAAAGGTGAATACTGAAAAGTTAAATATCAGTAACGCATGGCGGAGCAATTTCATTTGAAGCTTTAAAACTAATTGGTAACATTTTGCTTGATTAAACAGGAGTTGGCAGGAGCGATGGGCTCCTATAGTTAGGTGTCAAATTATATAACGTATGTAACCTGTACAGTGCCGGATCTAGGTAACGGTACAGGGAACACAGCTTTCTCTGGTTGTTACGCCAGTCTATGGCTACAATCCCGCTCTGTTTTGAGTTCTTTCGGTGTCGTGTTGATGTCTTGCACAGTTAATTTTCACGTAGTACGACCAGCATTGTAGTATTCTGTTTGCAGAATTTAATATGTCTACAGGGAACACAGCCCAGATTAACTTTCTACCAAAAGGCCCATAAGGCCGACCCCTAATAATCAAAATTTCTGAATAAGAGTGCCTCCTACCTCCTTAAGGTCGAGATCCAGCAGGACTACAGATTAATCTAGCAGCACGATTTACTACTCGCTGCAAGTTTTGAAGTGAGATCTTAGTAATGCGTGAAGTAGTAGAAACCAATGTATCAGTGTATGTAATAAGAAGCAGTAATTTTTCGTGCAACGTTTTGTTTAGATGTGAGAAGGTGGCACGAAGTCAGACAGCGAGAAAAAATAAAAAGCAAGAGAGGGAGAGGGGAGAAGGAACCATCCTTCACTTTCACTCCCTACCCCACCCTAGGCCTCCCTGTTTTTCCTGCTCACCGCGATTTGTGCCTTTCCCACAATCTGAACGCCTGGAATAGGCTATTGATAAGGAAACATAAGTCATAGTATTCGTAGTACAAGAAAATTATTGCTTGTGGTTGTATATATTGTCCAGTTTATGATACTGTTATATAAAATTTCGAGATCAAAAAAAGTCCCAAGTCGAATGACTCAGGGTGATAAAGTAAAACAGTATTTCTTATACTATTATTAATAATAATTTGATTCTAATGATTTCTTTTTGTTTCTAATGATGTAACACTCTTGATTAATTCTTTTTTACATTTTCCCTCTAATGATAAGGGTTCAAGAGATTTGTTGTTTTCATTTAAGAATTTTTTTAAATAAAATTTTTGTACGTAAAATGGATGTGATGCTTCTTCTATTATTTCACCATCATCAACCTCGTCCCCAGGGTCTTCTCGCTTTCCAATATGGCGGCGGCAGGAGAGAAGACCCTGGCACACAGCAGAAATCACGTGACTGATTTGTCCACGGAGAGTGGAAATTTATTCAAAATGGCGGCCAAGATAAAGAGTGAGAGGATCTGGGTACGAGGTCTTGAGACTGGTGAAAAACAAACAAAATGGCGGCAAAGGCAGAACTCAAAAGAAGCTAAAAATATGAAAGAATACACTTACAAGCCACAGGAATACGGTAGAATGATATAGCGATCTTATTTTCTGTTCAATGACCTTCATTTGTTTTAAGCCTGAAAGTTCTAGCGCACACGGCTGTCTACAACTTAATTTCTCGATACCGACCTTTTTTGTCGTACCCTGAGCGCGCAGAGGTTCAGGTTTCTTCTTTCGTGAAAGGGGGAGCTTTTTCTAACCGTGAGCACAATTTTTTTCTTCATGTTAGGAATTTCGAGAACAGACCTCTGAAGCCAGGGAATTTTTTGTCATGACGTGACGCTCTAAGACCTCTTCCGCTCCGAAATTCAACTAAGCATTAAAGGGACTGGTTCACGATAATGCGCATGTGTGAGTTCTGACAGTAGCTGATTGTTTTTCAACCAATCGGAAGCGAGTTAGATGCACGTAAGTAGATTTACAAAATTCAAATTAATTGTTCGCGACGCGAGAGTATTTCCGGGCATTTGGTTTGAATTTATTTATCCCCATAATTCAAGTTTATTCTTTGCTACTCCTCAGATATATGTTGCAGCCGATAAGAATAAGATTTACAGCCCTGTCTTGCTTTGAAACAAACATTTACCAACGTGTATTTTTACGAGGTCGTACCCACGCTAACAAAACAGTCACCGATCGGCAAACAAAATTTGTAAACAAACATCTTATTACTGTTCTCTCAGTTCGCCTTATATAAACCCAGAAATACCTACAAATAGCGCCTGACCGGTGACAAAAACACACAACGTATGAGTATAAAGATTATCCTTAATTGAGCATAAATTTCAATTGCTTATCAGCAAATGAACAAATTCATTCGCTTTGCATCGGGTCAATGTTCCGCAAAACAAATGTTATCGAGTAGCACACATAAAGAAACTAGATTATAAACAGAATATTCAGGCAATAATTTATTGTAAAAACATCAATTCTTAAACATATACGTTCGTAAAGCAAAGATACAAGGAACATTTCAAGTGTACCAGATCGGTAAAGATCGCGCGGCCTGTTGCGGTATAACTACAGGTCGGAGTCAAAAATCAAATCAAAGTTGAACGAACTCATGCCTTTAACCACTTTTCAAGGCTCGTGTATTCTTTTCGTATGCCACACACTACTCCTAGAACCATACCAGTTCGATAGGTTAAGCTTCTCTATCTCCAGAGACTCTTGAGAACGTCCTGTTGCCGGACGGCCACGATGCTTTTCTGAACCTCCATGATCTAAACATTATTTTTTGCGTCTTCTTAAAACGCAACCAGTCAAACGACACAACCACACGTTAATCACCACTACCGAAGTATAACTAGACCAGCCAAAGCGACGGATGTCCGAATAAAACGAAGGATTTTCAATGATTGTACCGGTAACGGCGATTTCGAATTTAGTGTTGACCCAACAAATTTATTCTGAAGAGACAAACGGCGCGCATGCGCATTATCGTGAACCAGTCCCTTTAAATTGAGTCGCAGACACTTTAAGCACAAGTAGCCCAAGCTCACTATGAGAGCCCTGAACAACATTATCCTACTTAGCTAATTAATTATTCATACAGCAAGAAAATTATAAGACGTTGTATGGAGAAATATTCTTTGCTCACTAAATTAGCAAAATGTACATTGAATATCGCTTTGAAGCTTACCTCTAGCGTCTTGTTGTTTTTCTTTGTATTCTGACTGCATTTCAGACCTCCTAGGCACTGTTTAAGGCCTTTTTTTGAGCGACAGTTTTTCACCCAGATGACAGTAGAGAGAAGAGAAGAGAAGGTTGGCAAACCTCTCTTGACCGGCTCCGCTCTCGGCGGCGATAAATTCCGTGACATTTGCGACATGGAGACAATTCCGCCAGAAACAGATGTCCTGATTAATTACGCACATTTTCCATCATTCACATCGCCAAAATTCCCATTTCGAAGGTCCTAAATCGCCAACGAAGTGCGCAATACACGGCTGAGGTGAGGCGAGTCGAGAGCAGACCCGCAACGGACTCCAACCGTCATGTCGACAATTCAAACCGTCGCGGGCTGGCAGGGTCAAATTGTTCAACCGTCAAAGGACAATTGGAGCATTTAGCCTACTGGGCACAGTAGAGCGATTTCCGTATGTCCTTGAAAAATGGTTTCGGTAAGAGTTCGTTAGTTGTTTTGTCAGCCAATGGTTGAAAAGAACAAAACATGGACTCTTCGTTTTCCCGCCAAAGAAAACCCTAATATGGAGAAGGCATCGTTCGATTGACCAATCGTGTTGCAGTATGACGTCAAAGCGATTTCTAGAAAGTTCTTCGGGCATGAAGTTTTTTTAGCCGAGCGTTCGCTTAACCAACCAAAAGCCAGTTGCGTTTGTATCCGTTCGATAAACCAATCAAATCGCTCTATTTCCGTTCTTTTGTTGTTTCTGTTTTGTTCGCACGTTTTCATTTCAAGGTCATACGAAAATCGTTCTAACTGATTTTTCACTTCTCACATTGCACTCCGGGGTCGCGGAAGTCAAGCATCGCGTGTGATAGTGACATGTAATATCAAAACATGTCGCGTTGTTAATGTTTTGATCCTGTCCCCAAACTTGCTACTTACTGCCACTTGTTGAAAAAGGGAGGAAAAATAGCTAACAACTGTTTACAGCCGTAGTAATTCTTATTGCAAAATTTTTTTCCAAATCATACATAAAAAACCATTGTCAAACGCTTTTTAAAAAGAAGAGTAGAGATCAAAACATTAACAACGGGACATGTTTTGATATTACATGTCACTATCACACCCGATGCTTGACTTCCGCGACCCCGGAGTGCAATGTGAGAAGTGAAAAATCAGTTACTGTGCCCAGTAGGCTAAATCCTCCAATTGTCCTTTGACGGTTGAACAATTTGACCCTGCCAGCCCGCGACGGTTTGAATTGTCGACGTGACGGTTGGAGTCCGTTGCGGGTCTGCTCTCGACTCGCCTCACCTCAGCCGTGTATTGCGCACTTCGTTGGCGATTTAGGACCTTCGAAATGGGAATTTTGGCGATGTGAAAGATGGAAAATGTGCGTAATTAATCAGGACATCTGTTTCTGGCGGAATTGTCTCCATGTCGCAAATGTCACGGAATTTATCGCCGCCGAGAGCGGAGCCGGTCAAGAGAGGTTTGCCAACCTTCTCTTCTCTTCTCTCTACTGTCATCTGGGTGAAAAACTGCCGCTCAAAAAAAGTCAGAATACAAAGAAAAACAACAAGACGCTAAAGGTAAGCTTCAAAGCGATATTCAATGTACATTTTGCTAATTTAGTGAGCAAAGAATATTTCTCCATACAACGTCTTATAATTTTCTTGCTGTATGAATAATTAATTAGCTAAGTAGGATAATGTTGTTCAGGGCTCTCATAGTGAGCTTGGACTACCTGTGCTTTAAGCTGATAAGTTATCGTCAGTTTTGTTACAGATCTTCATGAGGTTTTTGACTATTGTTTTTCTATCTGCACAAATTTTAACTGAACTCTGATATGTAAAAAAACAATTTTTTTTCTGAAAACAAGAACCAGAGAACACTATTTTGTTAATATAATTTGAGGAAACTTTGGTTGAAAATTAAACAGTTCCTTGGTCAGTTTGGATATTTTGTCACTTGAACTGGTACAGGTAATAAAATTATTGTTATAAATCTTCATCTACTTCACAGTTTTTAGACTTTGTTATTGGCTTTTGATATCTAACCCCATTCACAGTGCTTCCAGGCAATAGAGATAGGGGCCTTATTTAATCTAGCAAAGACGGTGGTATTAGTTCCCCACAAAAAAAAATGCCAAGTGAAAAAGCCCAAGTACAAGAAGGTTGGAGGTCAAGCAGCCGAGGATCAAAAACAAATCCGAACTTCCAGTTGGTGAATAAATCATCCTGGATCGGTCCACAGAAAGCTTTACAGTTTTCATTGATTTATACAGTCTCTTATTTATTAGTGAAGAATAAGAAAATAATAATAATAATAATAACTGTTTATTCACAAATCCAAATCGGAAAGTGAAAAGGAGATAAAAGAGGTTATCCCTTTCTAGTTTAAGGTGGGATGGGGGTTAAAAAAGATGGGGGCTTATTGTTAAAACTTTCTTTCACTGAAAAGGAGGGCTTATTTGAGAGAGGGGGCCTTAATAGAGGATTTAAGATGTTGTTATTATTGTTTTTTTTTTGCCTCTCAGATGTAAAAAAAAGCATTAACCCCGCTTTAATAGCTAGCAAAAGGTGAAGAGTGTTTCCATTGTTTGTAATATAGCAATTCAAAATGTATTCTCCACTTTGAAATAGATTTGATTTTCAGAGCAAAAACTTCCTTAATCCCTGACTTTGGTTTATTTGACATATTACTTGGGGCTACACTTTGCCATGTCAATGTGCAAATTGACCAAAGGCTAGACTCCAGTTCAAAAATTTGATAGTCCTATCTGAGTCATGTGCACAGTAAGAGTTCCTATCTCATTTGGAGATAATAGATGTTTTAAGTCAAACACGCTTTGCTCGTCAGATGGGCCCTTTCGTACTCTAATTGAGACATGACTTGGTAGCGGTGTGCTGATTATCAATCATAATCTATAAAGCATCAGAAACCTAAAGCAAAGTGAGTATTGCTTATACAAATGTTCAGTTGATTGTTGTGGAAAATTCACAAAAACATTGTTGACAAATACGGACATTAATACACCTGTGTTGTCTTTTTGATGGGCTCTTAATGTAGTTTATATGATGTTTAGTTGGTTTAACTATGTGACAGATAAGCCTCTGCTTGCAGGGTAGGTTTTTTGTTTTGTTCACTTACAAAATTATTTTCAGTGTTGAAAGTGGCACACAGGGGGCACAAAACTATAATCTACTATAATCGATTATCAGTTTAATAGTTGGGTTAATCTGATTATTTCTGACGATATGATTATAATACAGACACTATTACTAAGACTAACCAACTCCTTAAAGTAGACTTTGAAAGTATTTAAGCCAGCACATCTAACAGCTGCAACCTCACACCGCAACACCTAAACAAGATAAAAGCCTTGCCTTGTCCCTGTGTGGCATTTTCCCAGGCCTTAATTCTTGGTCAATTCATTTCGGTGACTTATCTTAGGCAAACTGGAGGGAAACTGTTTCACTATTTCGCTTGGGACCACGTGACCTAAAACTCATTGGCCATGACTAGGCAACTAAAAAGCTCACTATGCTAATGGGGACTCTGGCACAAAACACTTCAAAAAGCCTTTGCATCTCGACATGAAAAATCCCATGATCGAGATGCTCCAGGCCCCTTCCGCTCTTGTTTATTCAGTGGATAGTGATATATGCACCCTTTGAAGTAGTTTATTTTTTTAAATCCAAGGTTTAGAACTGAATTATAGCTGCTTCACAATCATACCCAGCTGGTGTTGGAATACTACAGTACAAGCCACTTTTTCACCTGGTCCACAAACCCCCTTTTCAAGGATATAGTGACAAGAACATCATGCAGTGACAAGAACAACATGCACACTTAGCCTGCAGTAATTAGAAGCTCAATTGACAGGTTTTAGTTTGACAGAAAACATATTTATCTTGGGGTCACTGTCACCCCATGTCTGGAATCTGGGAAATTTTTCTCTTGGAATCTGGAATAAAGGTCCTAAAGTACTCTGGATCCCACTTATAACTGGAATCCGGAATCCATGTTCCACTGACAAAGAATCCAGAATGCGGTATCCATGGCGCAAAATTGAGAATCCAAGACTGTCAGATTTCCTTGAATGGGCTGATCACTGTTTTCAACTTGATAAAATAAAAGACATCATGTGCTTTCATTTATTTTATTTTTGCAACTAGAAAGAAATCCCACAAGCTTCAATACATCAATATGTAAGTTTTTCATTTCTGAGAAAGGAAACAGTTTATTTTCCCAATGTCTCTGTATTTAGCTGTATTTTACTGCCAATGAAATGAGTAAACAATAATAAATTATCATTATTGTGACACTAAAAACTGAATAAATGAAAAGTCAGGATTAAAAATATCAAATGATAGCGACACTATGTTTGGCTTCAATTTTTAGTTTTGTTTCGACATCTGCCTCTCTCGCTCCTCGTCCCCCTTCAAAATCACAGTGGAAAAATTAAAAGAAGGCCAGGTTAGGCCCATGAATGTTACGATCAAATGAAAAGAATGTTTCACTTGACAAAAAACTGCTGAGACAAAGCGCAGATTATGCAAGATTTCCGTATAACCACATACATTAATAATATTAAGCATACAGCTTTTGTTCAAAGAAAACAAAAGGGAGAACAATACTACACCTTTGCAACGGGCAGCTAAATTTATTGATAAGCTGAAGCCTTGCAAGTATTCTTTCACCAATCGGGAATTAAAGAAACAAATCTTTAGTAATTTTCGGAACACACAAACCAAATAGCACCAGTAACAGAAATACCTCTACGCGTTATAATATTCCCAGCGATTACCAGATATCACTATATTCGAATCTTTGCCTTCCAACGGCATAGTCACAGTTTTCCGAACAATCAGACCTGAATTCTGTCCACCTTTTAGGTCTCAAACACTGAAGAAAATACTTCTCAGCCTCTACGAAGCCCTCAAAGGTTAACCATCTTTGTTTTGGAAGGAATAAACCAATGAGAGCGCACGTATGAACGCGCTATGAAATGCACCAATCAGCGATCGTTTTAGTTCGCTGTGTGCCAGGGTCTTCTCTCCTGCCGCCGCCATATTGGAAAGCGAGAAGACCCTGGGGACGAGGTTGCACCATCATCATCACGATAAACAAATTTTCTCGTATTAGCGACTGGTTTGCTTCAAATATTTCTTTGCTGGTTTTAGCTGTAGTGGTGCCTGTATGTTCCTCAACATACAATTTTGGCTTTTTCGTATCTTACAACGCCGTTTACACAATTTGCAATCTGCTTTTCGTAATTATTTTCAAGCACAAGTTTGTCACGTGCTACACGTTTTCTACATTAGTGTATGCATGTTTTTTGCGTATCTGGAAAGCAGCATCGTTGCCGTGTTTTATTTTGCTCTCACTTCAGAAGGATCCTTAAACAATTTAAAACTAACTGCCCTTCGCACTGTGGCGATTGGCCTTACTTTGAAGGCGAGTTTCAGTTCTTCCATGCACATTATACTTACTAAGCCGACAGAATCACTGCCTAAGGGACTTTCAGAGAAGTAAACGAACCTTCCCGAGGTAATTTTTCTGATTGAATTTTCCGGAGTCCACGGTCTCATTGAGAACTTGGACAACTAAAATCTGAATGAAAAAGGTAGTAAGCGCGGGGTGGACGATGGGAAGAGAGGAAAGTCTCCCGGCCTTCCCATTATCCCTACCGCCCGTTCTTTTTTTTACCCTCTTCTCAGACTTCCTACGACGCAAAGAGGCCTGGCCGAAGAGAGGGTAACACGTAAATCAACCACAACCAGTTTATCTGATAAATACTAGAGAACAGATATTCTTGATGTAGCAGGTTATATAAAAGTGACATAAATCAAAGTATTCGTAGTACAGGACAAACATTGCTTGTGTTTTAAAAGACCTTGTTTTAACTGTACGTTCAACGATTGGTATTTGCAAATGCAGAAGATAGAGACTTACCAATCTTTGCAGTTTATATTGTTTTTATCGACATAAATTGCAAAGTACCTGAGTTAAAAAAGTGGCTCAATAAAATTTAGTTTCATTATTTTCCTATGCTTAGTACATGTTCATTTGAACTTGGATCCCAAGAATTTGGACGACTATGTACGAGACTGTAGTTGATATATGTTTTTTTTAACCAACAATTTGTTATTGAACAGAAACAATCCGTCAAATCTGTGTGTTACTTACCCCCTTGTAACAATCATCGAATTGCCACATTCTAATTAAGTCATGTCTCTTATGAGACCTGAATTTTCGTGCATTTAGCCAAGTATTCACCGATAGTAAGTGAGATAAAAGTTGAAAGCACTCACCAGACCGCTACAAGATTACAACCCATAAAACGGTCATACATCGGCCCATGGACCACAAAGGAGAGACGTAACACACATTTTAATTAAGGTAAGCTGTTTTTAATTGAAATACTTTAATTTTCATAGGCTACAGAAAAGATAGGTTTTATTCCCATACAAATCCATATACTTCGAATGTTACGCTACAATGCCGATACTCATATTTCGAACTTGGGTAACCTGTGGTCTTCTTGCCAAGAAGTGACCGCATTAGCCTCGCTTTCGCGCTAAAACAAGCACTCGCCCTAGGCCGCCCGGGAATACGAAGCTTGCTTATTTGTATTCCTGATAAATTAGGGGTTTCAGTTGCGCACAGCGCTATACATCAAACATGTCTAGAACTGACTGGCTTTTAGTTATTCTAATGTGCCTGTCGTTTTGCATTTTCCTTGAATCGCTAATCGTACCTATTATTAAGTTTGTTGCGCCCAGTGTGGAGTTCGGCCCGCGTGAACAAACCGCAACGTTGACACTTTATCCTCGAGATGAAGAAACGGTTGTGCATTTCGAACTCAGTGACGTCGCTAGTCCTGACTCGGCACCGTCACTTGAGACCGTAATTCAACTTTGTCAGGGAAGTGATGGAGTGCGTTTAAGGGTCTGGCCTTGTATTCAAACCTCACGAATGGATGTGAGCCGATCCATGATGTGCGCAGTAAGATACAAGTCCACAAAATCGCCCTTGTCACAGTTGTGAACTTCGAAGCTTTATGTACATTGCAAGACATAGCAGTAAATTCACAGAATGCAGGATACTTCGCGCTCATATTATTTGGAGATAACGTGCAGGTTTTTGGGATCCAATTCACTCAAAAAGTAATGATCCCTGTTATGACGGCGGCTTACCCTGACACACAGCAAGAGAATATACTGATTGAGGCAGACCTAACCGAGATTGTATTAAGTCTACCGGGAGACACAGCTGACCTAAGTAAGATGGAAACGTACTTTGAATATATCTACTGTTGGTTACTTGTGGGTCCTTTAATTACATTGGTATGGTTAATACGAAAAAGAAAACTTTGTTGGATGTCTGAAAGGCGAGCGAATGAGAACGAGAATGATGCCGAAACTGGACCTCGAACTACGGAAGAAAACCGTGAAACTGCAGAAACTGAGGTGTTACATCAGCGCCCAGAAGAAACAAGTGAAATTCATGATTACAGTCACGGAGATGATGAGCAAATTATTCCTCTTACCTCTGCGCAAACTGGCCATACAAGACAACAGCACGGCACAGGATTTGTAGGCAAGATAAAAAAGTATTGTTACAGAGGCTTTGTCATCATCTGTACTTGAATTTTGTATATGATTTTGTTCATTGCAGCACTTCCGCTTGGTGTATCTACTCCTGGTGGGTTCTCTTTCTTTAGATTCGATGGCGAAATCTCATTAGCCACAAATATTTGAAACAAAGAAACAAGAAGTCCAAGACTACAGCAAAGCTGAACAACGTGCATTTTAAACGCGTTTAACGATATTCCGGCTAGCCAGTCCTTCCATGCTAGCAGAGGTCTCTCACGACGAGGCAAAAATGAGAGAAAGGAGAGATCTCTCCTTTCTCTCATTTTTGCCTCGTCGTGAGAGACCTCTGCTAGCAGGGAAAGCCGGTCCAGTCTTTTTCAGATTTACAGATCGACGTTCCCAGTAATCTAAGCATTTTCCCTTAAAATGGGAAATTTTAATTTCTTAGTTGAGATATACTTCAAAATTTGCCTTCACACAAAATTCGTGGCGCGCTTTTCAAAGGAGGGGTTCGAAGTAGAAGCTTTTTTAAAGATGGCACTAAATGCTTACAGGCAGAAGCCGCTCCTGTTTTGCGATTTTCGCTCTTCTTTTTTTCACGATTAACAAGAAGACAACACAACAAAACAAAATTCTGGAAAATTTTCTCCACTGAAGAACACTGGTGTGAGAAAGAAAATGCCGGTGATAACTCGGAAGATAAAAAAACAAGGGGTACATAATTTGTTTAGCCGTTATCGCCACCGGCTCTTCGCCGACAGCGTAAGACTTTGTTTTTTTCAACAAACATCGTTGAATGGCTGTTTCATAACTTTACTTTGTCGTTTTGACACAAACACGGCGACCACCCTCCAGAATGAAAAAAAAGGTACTGAAAAAAGGACCTTTCAGACCATTGCGTAAATCAGTTGGGAAAATAAGTTAGAGCTGAAGAGAGGAGACCGGGACCAGGGACTGACATAAAGGTAGCAGAGAACAGGAGCGAACTGGTAACTGGTCAAAAATAGGCTTGATTACCGGCCGCTGTTCACGAAATAAGCCCTTGCTCCTCGGAAATTGGGCCTGGTTAAAACGAAATTCTTCTTTTAATTTCATTTTCAAATAATCCTGAGTCTAAACAGAACAGGAGAGCGAATGTGAAAGATACTTGCCAGGAGTGACTATGCTTGCATTTACCCAACATATACGGGTTTTCCTCTTTCCGTCCTTTTTGTTTTTGAACACTTTGCCGCCTAAAGAAACGGCTATGAGAACTTTCTAGTACTGAACACTGAAAAACTCTTAAGTTAAGTTACAGCGCAGGTAATAAATTATCACGCTGTCGTCAACCTATGAAACTTTCAGTAAACAAAACGGTAACGTTAGCTTTCAAGTTCTTCAGTGACTTTTTGAGAATATCTAGTGTTTTTTTTTTTTCAACAAATGTTTGCTATTCATCAGAGAAGTAATAATCATTATCTTCCTCTGCTGAGTCGTGGTCTGAAGTGGGATGAGCTTCAAATAACTCCGAGTTTACCACGGGCAGATGGCTGCTGGAGGACGCTGGTTTCTTTGGCGTTGACGTCCTCATCTGCGACAAGGAAAAAAGGCAAAATCTCTGTCTTTTAAAATCAAGAAATTTTTCAAAACGGATTTCACTATAAAAATCAACGTTACTGAGCAAATAATGTGACTCGATCACTATCTTGACGCTGTCTTTATTAAACTGACCCTGAGTACTGGTCCGGTCTAGGAAATTTTCGAATTTTCGCTCTGCAGACCAGAGCTCCAACGACGCAGCTAGCGCTGCCATAAGTAATCAAAGGGCAAATGACAGCGTCGCTTGTAAACTAGAAATTTTTCAGTCTACCTTTGCTTTTGGCTTTGCATGTGCTTGTGTTCCTCGCTTTCCTTGTTGCATTCTATAGATGTAATGATCCATGTCCTTCCTGAAATGAGATTAACAAATTTTTAGTACTATCATGTCATGAACAGGAATGGCGCAAGTAATTTCGTGAGGGCAATGGTTTTGGATTCCTACTCTATCCTACCCAACACGATCCTAACCTACGTGATTGGCGTAAAATGTCTTGTACCAATTTTCAACTAATCACAAGTAATACTTAAACCAGTCTTGACCGTCTTGCTGGTCGCATTTTGCCGCCTTCTACGCCGGCTACAAGTATTTGCTTTATGCCCTGATTGGTTTATTGGGTTGTCGATATCAAGTCATTGTGATTGGCCAGAAAGAAATTATGGTTTTATGACAGTCAGTTGGAAATGAATGAAACATTTCTAAAAACACGCAGCACGCAGTATGCGTAGCAAATCTCGTAAGAAAGAGGGGAGAAGTGCGAAGCTTTTCCTCACATCCATCTCTTCGTCGATGAAGAGTTTTGCTTCCTTCTGTAGTTCTGTAACACTGGGTAACCAGCCTGGTTAGCGCCAAGTTAAACTGCAATTAAGACAACCAAACAGACAGACGCACGAACAAAAATACAATACAAACCGGTTGACTTGCTGTAACAGACTAGGGCTGATGAACTCTGAGCTGGGGGTTGTTGTAGTCGACAACGGACCCAACGGTCTGAATCGACTGCTAGGTGTACGGCTACTTGGAGTCTTGTAGGATATGCCGCGCTCGGATTCGCTTTCCTCCTCCTCTTCATCGCCATCATCACCAGCTTCATCACTGCTGTTACTGTTCAGGTTAAACGGCAGCTGAAACATTTTAAATCGAGAATATGCTCACAGACACGTGAAGGCCTTACCAGGGGCCAATTTAATAAAACGTTTACAATTGTACTTTATAATTGTGGATATTGTTTTCATACTCTAAGGCAACAGCATCACTTGTAAATTATAATTGTAAAAGTTTTATTAAATTGACCCTAGTAGGCCGTTTCTGAGTTTCAAAAAACTCTCACTTTAAAAATAAGGCTAAGTGCAAACTCTTTGCTGTGAAAATTAGTTTTATTTGTCTAAGAATAAAACTCATTTACATGTCAATGGCTTTACACTTAGCCTTGCTGTGAAACAGAGGCTTGAAACAACTTGAAAATGGCCTACAGTCCATTTCACAGCTACAGGTGGAAACCAGGCTTACACCAGGGTGGAGTTAACCTTGTTTTGATGCAACACTTCTTCCTTTATAATGTTAATCATGTCGTTCTCATCCTAACTAGTATTTTTAGAATAATTTTCATAAGAAAAGTAAAGAAGTTTTTATCAAAACAATGTCAACATCAGCCTCACGTCCACTCAAAGGCCAGGGCACTAAGCTCATGCCTGTAAAATGGTTTATTAGTGGAAGTTGAAGAATGAAAGGCTGAGAGAGAAAAGAGCTGAGGAGATTTCATCTGAAAAGCAGTTCAACACACCTTGATATCTTTCTTTTTCTTGAAAGGGGTTGCATCAAAGATATCATCCTCGTAGTTCATGTCCTGTTGTTCAAGCAGCTCTCTAATCTCTCGCTTCCGTTTAATTGTCCCTACACCTCCAGAAACTGTTTTCACGTTCTGTTGAGGCGGACCTGAAAAAAAAAAACAAACAAACAAAAACAAAAACCTAGGCGTCAGTGGAGGTAGCATTTCTTTCCCTCTCAAAAGGCTGAGACTACAAACTTCATAAAAGAAAATTTCAAACTTATTTTCATTAAATTTTGAAAAACAAATAGTGATAGGTGAAAGTACTGCTCAAGAGGTTTCATTTGGATGGTTACATCATAGAATTTTATCCAAACACTCAAAACTTGAAACCTGTTTACACAACATAATAAATAGTACTGTGTGAAAGTCACTGGCTAACAACATTTACTTGAATGGTCACACCAAAGGATTTTAACCACACAAGCAAACCGGGGACCACTTTACAACCGTCTATCCTTCCTTGCATAACAGTACTAGTTGGTAAGTGCTAAAAGCGGCAAAGATCGATCACCTAGCCCTTCTCGACAAATCATTTCCTCAAAGGTACCTTTAAATGCAGGGGCGTTCTTTTCCTTGGCCGATGTTTTCTTGGCTGAAGTTTCCCTCTTGTTAGAGACAAGCACATGTCCTTGGTGTTTTAGCTGACACTCCTGCGCGGTTCGTGAGCCAACTTTTCTGGAAATCTTTTGCCAAAACATTGGAGTATTACCTGATATGGTGTACAGGGCTCTAAGGAAATTAAACATACTGCGATCAGCCATGAATTCATGGTTTACTCGGGGTTGCAAGACATTGAAACGAAAAAAATGGCCATTCTAAAACCGCACGTGCGACTATGTCTGTTTTTTGTTCAGTACACTGTGGGACTGCTTAAAGGGGATGAATTTTGACCCAGTTTTCTGCGCGGCAATCTCGTAAATGCCACGAGAGACCTTTAGATTCGAGGACGACATTTGAAAGTTTGTTACGCGTATTCTCAAACAATAGACACCCCAGAAAGCTTCATTTTATGTCCTTTTTTAATTTACCAGAAAAATTAACATTTCAAATTGATAAAACTTCTAACATTTGATGAGTTGTTTCCGCCATTAGTTCGCTAAAATCCATAATAGAGTGACGAAGACTATCACGTTTTCCCGCCAAAATGACTGTGGTTCACGCGCACAAACTACTACATGTACTTAGTAATATTAGTCTTAGGAATCGGAAGGTCTCTAATAGAGACGTCATAAAAAATTAAATTTGTGAAATTATGGGATTTATTGGGATATACTGAAAGAACAAAATCTAAAAGGCCTACTTGCCAAAAACTAGCTTTTCGGGGCAAATTGTCCCCAGGATATTAGACAACTTATGCTCTGACGACTTCATACAAATCTTTCTAAATTTGACGCGGTTCATAATGTTATGAAAAATAACCTTTGTTCAGGATTGAGTGATTGCTAATATTTCTGAGCTACTCTATTGTGACTTATTATTACGAGCGCAAAGGCAGACCCTTAAAGTCTATGCCACAAGGTACAACACGAGTCTACATACTCGTTAAGTCGTTCAATCTCCTCGTCCTCCCATGGCGTTTCATCAGATAAAACATTTTGCTGCTTTTTGCCGTCTTTGACATTTTTGGACACTTTAGATGCTTGCGTTTTTCCTGAGCCCTTCTTCCCCGAATTCTTCTGGGTAACTGCGTTTGTTTTTGCCACTTTTGAATGAGTCTGCGATTTCCTCGGAGGCTTGCGAGGCATTTCATCAGAGTCCTCTTCAGAAGACTGAGTAGTTGCTTCAGTGACTAGTGCTTGAACCCTTCCATGAACTGGCCTTTTTTGGGCATTTCTCTTTTTATTAGGTACCTTAGAGCCTTTCCCTGAACGGCGACTGTTGTCAGATTGCTCTTCACAAGAAGAGACTCGAGATTCACTTTCTGAAGTCTTGAGGTTGGCTGTGGCCCTCTTCATCTTTCCTCTCGTCATAGTACCATCCTCAGAATCGGCATCAGACATTTCGACATTTTTAAAGTTATTTGATTTTTTACCGTGAGATCGCAAAACACGCTTTGGTGGCGAGGGAATCTGTGGATCAGTTGATTGTTCAACATTTCTCTCCTCAAAGTTTACGCGAACAGTTGCTGGATATTTTCTTTTTTGGTTGTTCTGGGTATCCTCCGCCAATACTGAAGCCGCTGATGTGTTTTTCTTTGAAATACTGGCGTTGTTTGGTAAGTGACTCTTATTAACGGCTGTTTCCGCTGTCTTCCTTGGACTTCCTCTTCCCACAGACTCCGTCTTCTTTTTCTGAGTGCCTCCAAGAACTCTGCTTTGATCAGATCTTTTATCTTCATCATTCATTACCTCCGCCTCACTTCGCACCTCCGAATTCTGGCTTTTTCCGGGCGATTTCTTCGGCGAATAGAACAGCTTTTTCTTCAAATTTTGCACAACGTCTCCCTCCGAGCTACCTTCACTACTACTACTGCTCTCCTCAAACACATAGCTTGCATTCTGTTCTCCAACACCATCTGTAAGCTTCCCATTCTTAGAAGTATCTCTTACTCGTTCTGCACCAGCCTTCCTTGAATCGTTCTTGTTTTGGTCCCCAGACTTGTGTGATTTATCTGTGCCAATAGCCTTGTAAGGGCTTCTAAGTGTTTTCCTGTCTTTTCCTGAATTTTCTGCACCAGTGGGGTGTTTGGGGCTGTTAATTTTTTGCTGCGGCTGCGGTGGGATGTCAGATTCTTCGGTGGAAGATTTCTTTGTGTGAGTCTTCCTTACTTTTCTGTTTTCATCATCAGATAAAAAATGGCTCTGTTTGACAGGGCTAGATTTTTCACTCTAAAAAAACAAAAACAAAACCAAAACAAACACATCAAAACAAAAATACAGTGATACAAAAACTTTAACTTGAGATAAACTGTTCCAGTAAATAGTTATTTTAGTTGCACTACTCATTTTGGGGATGCCACCACATAACATTTTTGACATCTGAGGAACAAACCCAGAAATTCCATACTGATGACTTGTCACTACCCAGATCTGGGTAGTGCTTCTGATTGGTTGAAGCAATTTTCCCACGCGGCACCACTAATCAGAAGCACTACCAAGATCTTGGTATTGACACGTCATCAGTATAGAATTTCTAAGCTTGATACACAGACATCACTTCACAGAGTAACCAGTGGTGGTACTGGCGTCGCGAAATGTTGCCTGTTTTCTAAGGCCAGTGAAAGCAAATGCCTAATAACTTCTTTCATCTTTTGACTCCTGGCTTACGATGTAGACAAATCAAACAAACCTTGACGGACAACACATTGGCTTCTATGACTAAAGCTCATTTTGATCAAGACGGCTTGATATTAGTCAAGAGGTTCATACAAACAAAGAATGTGGCCAATATTTGCCGTATTGACTTCACGCTTAGCCAAAAGTTCTGGGTACATTGGATGAAGGAAATGACTCCGTCAGACCATGCAATTGACATCTCTTAAAGTGTTGGAGGTAATCTTACCTTCAATGGCAACTTGAAGTCCACACTGTACATAGGAGAAATAGGTGTGTGTTCTTCTCCTCCAGGGTCGATACCTTCTAAATTGTGGTGCCTGTCAGTGAGAATTCTCTGCCCTCTCCACCAAGCTAAAGGTGGTTTCACCATTCGACCACTTCTTGTTGTCTGTAGGAGAATTAAATAAATAATAAATAATGATTCCTGGTTGAATTGGAATTTGGAAATGTTGGTTTTTGAGGAGAGGGGAAAACCAGAGTACCCGGAGAAAAACCTCTTGGAGCAAAGGAGAGAACCAACAACAAACTCAACCCACAAATGGCGTTGATGCCAGGATTTTAATCCAGGCCACAGTGGTGGGAGGTAAGCGCTCTCACCACTATGCCATCCCTTGCTCCCCAACTTGCAGTAAAAGAAAGTCACTAATGGGAATCAAACGAATGCGATGTTGTGCTATGTCCACCGTGACTTTGTTTTTTCAGAGCAATTTGAGCCGGTGGTAAGTTGTTTTTCAGTTGGTGAAATAAGATGGCAGCCAGCTCTTATGGATATCCCCATACAGCAGTTCCTAGCACCCACAGCACCTGACATTTTTCCTTGTGGTGACAGGGCTGCAGAGTGTTGTTCATACCTAACGCTTACTCATGTTGTCTCAAACTGCCACTTATTGGTATCTCAGCAAGGCTGTGCTCAAAGAAAAATTGAAGAGAGCCCAATGCTCTGAACCTGTGAAATTCAGGGTGCCCAGAATATGATTTCTATTAAAAAAGGTAAGCTTTTCTGGTCGCCTAGGATGAAAAGTTAGCACCAGGGGCCGCATGCTGCTGAAAGACAGCCTTGCTCAGCTCGCTATCACACCTCACCTATAATACATGTACTTTAAAGTCTCATTGAAACTACTGTCACATTAGAGAGTACATTGCAAATCTTTTAAATTTTTTAATCAAATTTTTTTGTTTACCTCACATCAGTAATACCTTCATTAATCAAAGAATATCTTTAAAAAAAAGGAACATCCTTGCCTTACCTTCAGTTCCACTTCTTTGGGCAGTTTTCTGTTTACTGGGGTCTTCAAAGCTTAACATAAGTTGGCAAAAAATGTTAATACATGAACATTTCAAGACTCTGTGATTGATGTGTATGGAAGAATATCAATTTACTGTAGCAAGTTCTTTTTGTCCAATAGTCTAGTTTCAAATTAAAAATTACCGCTGAATATAAACATTAACGACACATTCATACAGGGTTAGCCTCGACGTAAAGTAAAATATTCAGAAATTCTGGCAAGTAAGTGTTTGAAATTTGAATATACACAATAGACAGAGTAATAAACAGGTCTTTTCCTCATTGGAATTTGTGAATATATTACTTCAGATTGAGGCTAAGACTGTAAAAAATGTGTCTCACTTCTTTAATTCAGCGGTCATAGCGAACTCGAAAATGGACTATTACCTATGATTAGCCAAAGAGCGATCTGGAATGAATAATTTGAACTCTGTTCAAATGATACATGTAGCTTGATTTTACAGCTTAGTGAGTTAACTCTTGTCTTTTCGTTTGAAAATTCATAATAAAAAACTACCAAGAAAGATAGTGTTTGGTAGGTGTCTTTCTATCTTACACAGAAACAGCTACACTTTTAAGTCTAATCTTCTTGATCAAAACAACCCCAACTCTGTGCAAGAGTAACAAAATTTACATAAGAGGTGTTTGAAGCTAGAAAACCCAGAGTCTATGTTTAATCAAAGGCTGTGCCTCGTGTTTTAAATTTAATAACTAAAGCATTGCTTTAATATATATAAAAAAAACACACACACAACGGAAGGATGAGATGTGAATTTTATTCTACATAATTTAAGTATTGCTTTACCTGTATCTTTTCCTTTTATCTTAACCTTGGATCCAGGAGGAGTAGCAGTGGTTTTGGAATGTTTAATCATTTTTGAGGTGGGTCTTGTCTCTTTTTTAACAAGTTGGTCTGGAACAGATTCCTCATCTTCACTTTCAGAGCTGAAATGTAGGATTTCAGTCAGGATTGTAGCACTGTTTTGGTTTTGTTCAAAAATGTAGATGTGAACTTCTGTATGGGTACCTGTGGACATTGATTTTGTTGCACGTTTTCCATCAAATAGTTGGTTTTTAGGCAAAATTGTCGCACACCGAGAATTTTTTGCATGGTAACACTACTAGTAAGCTCAGTATAACCACCCTCTTTAAAACAGTCAGATTTCGTAATAAACTAAAACACTGAACTTGCAGTGCACTTTTTTGTGGGTTTCTTTGCTGTCACTGCATGACTAACAAACTTGATTGAAATGGTAATGCAATTGTTGTTTTTATCTCTAAGATTGTCACTTCATAAATGGCGCTTGTCGCGACTTTGACTTTGTCATAAATACCCATACAGAGGCTCAGATGTCCAGTGTCACGGGTATCTTCCCAACCCCTTTCAAAACAAATAAGAAAAACTAACCTGCTTTGAGAATTGAAATGGTCACTAACAAGTGAAAGCCAGTTTGAAGGAAAGCCATACTTAAATGATTTCACAAATTCAGAAGAAAATCCTGAAAAATAATGGAATATTAACATTTCTCTGTTAATTTTTTCTGTACCAAAATATCATTACTTTGTTAAGGCTTAGGTAGTTATTTATATTAACAATGATAAATAGAAGTTATTACATGGGTGCAGGGAGATACGAAATCTCTCTTTGAGTGTTGACTAATATTATTTCAAGAGTGAGCGCCTAATGAGTGAAATATTTTAATTTCAACAAGAGAAGAGAAATTTCGTATCTCCAAGTTACCATGTAATGTTCTATTATTTTACCAAATAATTGCCAATGAAATACCAAACAAATTCACTTCAAGAGTTTTTTGCTGTGAAAGGTGTGAATTATTATCTAGCCATAGCAAAGGTGATCTTTTCACGTGTGAACAACATGTTATTTTCAGGTGTGAAGATAATATGTTTTTGGGCAAAAGCTCACCTGGTATATCACTTTCGTTTGCATAATAAGAAGAGTATATTTTTAGTAAAATACTGAGCAAAGTATATACCTTGTTGGAGGGTGACTGTTTCATTTATAGGCCCCACCAGCCTGTACTGTGATCCGCTTTTTGTCTGGAGTAGTTTAGCATTCACTCTTGATACTATAGCTGTACTATGCCATAGTTCACCTTCTGGGTCCTCACTAATTAGCAAAAATATGATTGCTTTTAATACTGATGTGAAAGAGCATTGCAGTTAGGTATGCACCCAAAGTAAAACAGTTCACTCAAAGCAAAGCAGAGATTTATATTTGTCAGATTATTTGAAACCTTCCAAAAACAGGCTGGTTATTAAATGATTTGTTTTGCAATATTAGACAGGGTGACCAAACTTATTTAAAACCCACAAGGTACAAAACAAAAATTTTGACTAATAGAAATAGAAGAAGCATGAATCTTCTGAACTAAGGAGACAAAGGCAATGATCACGATAGCACAACAGTGATAATATGGCAGTATTGAGTATGCATTGGTCAGTATTGAGTGAGGATCGGTCAGTATTGAGTAAGCATTGGTCACGCCATAGAAAACAGACTCTCACCTTCTCTGGCCTTCAACAATGATTCCCATGTGTGTACGAGTCTTTACTGCTTTAATCGACCAAAGCTTAAGGACATTCAGCCTGGGTAACTTATGCTGCTAAAGACGAAATGTAAATGCGAGTATAAGTACAAAAAAAATGAAGGCCTTACTTCTAGTAATATAATTTGATACATGTAAGGTCTCTCCAGTTATGGCACATTTAAAAAGTATCAGTAAACTGAACGCGCGTGTATAACACCAATCCAGATAAGAAAACACAGCTTTCTTTCTTCCCATTATTATTATATTTCTTGCCCTTTATGTTAGAGTAAAAAATAATGGACTAAGGAGAAATGATGTACTGTTCAAATGTGTTTACTACATATAAAGTGACATGTCTGAATAATAATAATAACCAAAGTTTAAGCACTGAGTGTTTTAGCTCTTTGCAGTCCAACATTGTAAAAAACTGTTCAGCTTTTAATATCCGTAGACTTAATAAATGTATAATGTAGTAAGAATGACGAATATGTACTGATGACCCATAGAATCACTTTTTAAAAACTTGTCTGGTTGCATGATAGAACTATTTAATAAAAACTTTTGACCAATTTGGGCAAGGTATATGCTTATGAGGCAACGAAGTTTTGAAAACAAGGATTTGCCTTTTGACTAACCTGTTCTGTACTCAACTCTGTTGAGCTATCGAGGCTCTTTGCTATAGTCTCATCTTTTGCTTTTGTATTCAAATTATTGTTTTTGTCAACATAGTCGTTGTTATCTTCACCACCAGTCTTATTGTTTTCATGATTTTCAACTTGTACATCCTCAGTGACAACATCAACCTCCCCATCGCTCTCATCAAAGGAGATGTGTACCTCCTCACCACTGTTAGCAGTTTGAGCCTCAACGATGGTTGCCACACCATTGCCGTTTGCTGACTGTCTTTCAACATTCCCAAGGGGAACTGTAGTATTCCTGTTTCTAATGGTAGTAAATGTTGGTTCACTACTCCTTGCAGAATCACTTTGGGCATCATTAAATCCAGAATCCTTGCTGAAGCCTCGTTCTACATGGTGCGTCTCCGTACCCTTTGTTGTAGTCGCCATAGGAGTGATGTCATCATCATTTTCCAGTCTGCTTATTACCATACTTACTTTCTTTTTAATTGCACTGTCATTTACCAATGGTTTAAATGGACTGACTTCAAACTCTTTGTTGTTTGCGCTGCAGACCGGAGGTTTGGGCTTAACATTCTCAGACAAGGTTGAATGAAGACTCGTACTGGTAGAGCTTTTATTGTGAAACGATTCAGCCATTTTGACCACATCATTAAAACTATTAAAACTCTTTGCTGTTGCTGCCTTTTGATGCACAGGTCCTGCTGATGAATATATTTCCTGCAGAATGTACAATCACAGTTAGACTGGTTTTACTAAACCTGCGAAACAGTGCATAAGTGGCAAATAGTTATAAGTAAACAAAAGAAAACATTGCCGTTGGCAGTTAGGCCAGTAATTCAATGACAGGAAAGAAGTCTACCATAAATATTTTCAGAGCTTTTCTTTTGCTCATAGACCAAACGCTTTTTTGATTTTCTTGCATCCATTGTCATCACTGTGGCTGCTTCGGCAAGGGACGATTTTCGTTGAAAACCCAGCAATAGATGGAAAACACATGACGAAGGCAATGTCCATAGGTGCCCATACGGGATCAGGTTCAATACACCTACCGGTAACTCAGTTAACAAATCTATTGTTCTTGTGTAAATTGCATTGAGTCCAGTTATCACTCGGTTTTCCACCACGAAAATACAGAACCACATTTGCCATTTGTCAAAATCAGCTAACTTTTGTTAAGTAATCGGAAATGACCCAGTTAAAGTTAAGTTCCCTAGTGTGAACGCGGCCATACCTTATTTTAGATGTTTTGGTATTTTGATTTATTAGGGGATCATGTTACAGTCTTCCTTCAACACAACGGCTATCCATCAAATGTGGACCGATGGAGGCCGCATTGTGGACATTTGACTGTATAATCGAACTCACCTGAGCGCGGGGACTCGAGAGAAAAACCTCCTCAAACCGAGAACGTGCGTCCAGTACTCCGTCATTTGATGATGATGCCGCTAAGAAGTCTCTCTCCATGAACGATCTGCTCCGCTGGAAGGTGCTTCCAACAGCAATCGGCTCCAGGGAAGGGTGAACAAAGCGCTGTATACTATAAATTTCTTTTGATTTAGTCCGGTTCATGACTAAAACTAACGAAAATAGAAGAAAAAGCCATTATTGAACTCGCGAGAACTCGCGCCAAAACGCCAAAACTAACCAATCGACTTTCTGAACATACAGTTTTCTTTACAGCGGTCTTGCTTTGGAGCAATATATACGTTGTGTACTCCTGTTGTGTACATCCTGAATTTTGGACATTTCTTACTCCATCTTCCGTGTAAAATGCAGTCGTCGCTGTTTAAGTTTCTCGGAATTGGGCATACAGAGGCTTCAGAAAATTCAGGTAGTTTTGTTGTTACAGCAGCAAGTCATAAATCCGGATATTGTAGGGCAGGTACCCTGTGTAGGGGCGTTTTCAGTAGATTGCCCTTCGCTGCACTTCAATGCAAAGGTCTGCACAAGAACAAGGAAAAAGCACCTTAGGAAAAAGAAGCTTTTATCAATCTTTCATACTTACATTTGAGGCTCATTTAATGCCCCCTAATTTCTGAATCCTTAAATTGTTAAAGTAAGACTCTTCGTTGATTCAGGCATTTAAAATCTTAACTTTGAAGTTTGACAACACTCTTCATTCCCAGCGACCGCGGAAAACGAGAAAAAGTCACCGTGGAGCAAGTTTGATGATTTACCCCTGGAAGAGAAGCGTCAGTTGTACCGATGTGGGACAAATTTCGTGACTTTGAAGGACATTCCAAGCTGGACAGAATACCGAAAGGATAATTTATATGCTATTTATCGAAGGAAAGGTAGATACTGAAAGTTATATATATATCCATTGTTTGGCTTCAATTCAGTCGTTGAAAAATATGGAAGATTCATAATAAGCGTTGAGTGGGCTAACGGCTTTACTACGTTATTAATGGTATAAAGTAGCTCAAAGCTCATGCTTATTAAAGGTGGATTATGGAACAATTAAGGACTGCAACCTCAGGAGATCTGAAATCTGAGTTCTCTCTTACATTAGCCAACAAATGTATCTCCCATCATTATCAACCCCCTGACACACAAAATTCAGTGGCGGGCCCAGGGGAGGAGCCTGGGTCTCCCCCTTATTTTTAGACCAAACTGAGGCTGGAAGGGCCGAGAAACAATTTTTTTGGAGGCTGCCTCCCCCCCCCCCCTTGATCCGGCACTGAAATTGACCCACTTCCTGACTGTAATGATGAAAAACTCTGAAAATGAGGTAAGTTCCATCAAAATGCTGCCAGAACCCATGAGATGAATATCAAAAGCTGTAACTTCCTTTGTGATATTTCTTGGTCGTAAACATTGTTTTTGTTATGCAAATGTGCCAACCAGAGGAACAAAAGACCCCATATTCTAAAAGCTAACAAGCCGCTGGTTGGCACGATTTTTAAAATACCAATACAAAGTAGCTGACATAATGTGAAATATCGCTATACAAGCAAAATGGTGACAAAAATTTCTCCCTTCATTTTATCTCAATTTAGGGAAAAAACCAGAGAAACCATCTTTTGCAGTCAATGCACTGCTCAATGAAAAAGTTTCATTATGGCAAGGAGATATAACCAGCCTTGAAGTTGATGCTATAGTGAATGCAGGTAAGGTGTGTCGGTATGTTCAACGACGATTTTGTCAGAACCAAAATTTCTTGGATGCATCGATAACCAAATTTTCTTACTCACGGTGCTCCGCTGCACGCGCAATCTTTGTGCCCACGAGAGCTCCGCCATTAATTTGTATGCACAGAAGACATTTTTCGCAAAGTATATGATAAATCACATAATGACTAGTCCCACAGGAAATGAGTTAACTTTGTTTGAATCTCAAAGTTGAAAATCTTAGTAATTAAGTCTTTTAGTGATTTAAATACTTCATTTTTTATTTTCTTTTTAATGTCTCAGCAAACAACTCTCTACTGGGAGGAGGCGGAGGTAGGAGATTTTTTTTATAGTTTTTACTTATCTTTTATATTGTAAATTACCATAATTTTCTGAAAATAAGCCCCTCCTTGTATAAGCCCCTCCAAATAGAAGCCCCCCAAAATCGTAACGCAAAAAACCCTTCATTAAATCGCCCCTCCAAATATAAGCCCCCCGGGGGGCTTGTACTTGGAATTTGCCCTCGCATACAAAGTAAAACAAAGCAAAAATGGTAAATATCCTTCCCAGTACAAGCTAGCCCAATCGATTTTGAAACGCAAATTTCCCTCCGTACATAAGCCACTCCAAAAATAAGCCCCTCGAAAAGGGCCTTTGAAAAATATAAGCCCCGGGGGTTATTTTCGGAATTTTACGGTAACTTACAAGAAGTCAACTAATAAATATTTTTTAATTGTAAGGGGTTTCTTCTCTACAAAATCAAGTCTGTATTAGTAGGCTCATGGTTGAAAGCTCATGAACACATACATGAAACAAAGCTCAAATAGTGAGAGCAGTTAATTTGAATGAGTGTTTTTTCTGAAGATTGATAATTACATAGCGGTAGAAATACCAGTAATTACCATGTCAGGAAAAAAAGATTTTACATTATTTTGGTATCAAAAGGTTTCCATGGGCAACAAGAAGAGCCCTGGGCTCGAGCAAACATAATAATTATTATGGTGTCTTTTTTTGTTTTATAATAGTTGATGGCTGTATCCATCGTGCAGCTGGACCAACACTACGCAAGGAGTGTGCAGCCCTTAATGGCTGCTCTACAGGAGATGCAAAGATCACATCAGGTTGTGTATTTAATCTGAGGGAGATAAAAATACAAACAAAGTTAGGCTGTTGAGCATATCATAACCACATGTACAGGCCACTGTGGAAATATCCAAAGTACATGTAATTGTTTATATGAAGGATCGGGCATAGTGGAGCTTGTCTCCTTCACATCTGCTCGGGCTGAAGTCGCCGCAATGCATCGTGGTGACTCAATGGGACAGCTGCGAAGAAGACGGCAGGGCATAACAATATTCCGGTCATCTTTGTTGCGATAACACAGTGGAATTTAGAGTACGTGTACATGTAGGCTCCTTGTAATAAAAAACGTAGCTTTATATGTGGTCCCAAATAAAATTACTGGTAATAGAAAGTAAGCTTCACAGCCCAGTGAAAACACAAATGAAAAAAACAGCCCCTTTAAATGTTTGTGATAGCTGCAGCTAATAATTATTGTTCTGTCAATTCTTGCAGGGCATAAGTTACCAGCCAAGTGTAAGTCACTTTTTTATGGTTCTTTTAATATTGTGAATCCGCCTTTATCATTGTGAATTTACTGTTATTATTCCAAAAACTGTAATTTTCACCTATTTCAGATGTCATTCATACTGTTGGCCCATTTGGAAAACAGGAAAAACCACTGAGAAGCTGTTACAAGAGATGTTTGGGGTTGGTGAAAAAATATGGCCTTCGAACTGTGGTAAGAGATTACTTGTAGTGAAAGAAGTTGGAGATTTTCTTATGTGGCTAAATGTAATTTAGGCAAAGTTAACCTTGAAGCAATGCTGGTCAGCAGTTTTCCCAGCTATGCTGGGGGTGGCCCAATGCCTCTAGCAGGGGCCCCTTGTGACTTGTATACGCAGTTGCTTGCTTGCAGCTCTTCGCAAAGTGTTGTAGCAATAGCTTGTTGCTTGCTTGCCATTTTGTGCTGTGTTTTTTTCCCATTCCTCTGTCCCTCTTTAGGTTAGGGCCAGTTAAGTGTTGGTTGGTAAGTATTCCACTGAGTTGTTCATTGTGACGATTCCTGGTGGTGCCGCTCGCAGGGTTGCCATGGATACCTCCTCCTCATGCTAGAGCATTGCCCAGCTCCACCAACTTTGTAGGGTTTAATTAATATTAAAAGTTTAAAATTTTATGCTCACAATGAAACTTTGTTTACACATAGGCATTCTGCTGCGTTTCAACCGGAATTTACGGTAAGGAATTTGAAAAGCCGGGTGAAAATGACCCCCAAACTTTTGAAAACTACATGACAACATGACACAAGTTATTGTTCCTCACAGGTTACCCAATCTATGATGCGTCCTGTGTCGCTTTGAACACTGTCCGCAAGTGGTTGGAGGATGGCGAAAAAGATGGAAAGAAAAATGCAGAACTTGTAAGGTTGTCTCTGTGTTTGGGTGTTTTCTTTTCCTGAATCTTGACGTTTTAATCAATGTTTTAATAATCGTGCTCAGCTAAGTGAATACGTTAAAGTTATATGCTATCCCGCGTTAACGATTCGTACCCAATGCAGGTGGCAGAGTTAAAAACCCACTAGCTTTAAGACTGGTCCGTTGAAAATCAAGGTTGGACGCTTTAAGAATCTTTTGAGTTCGTCTTATTTTCTACCTGTCCATTGTAGGTGGATCGCATAATCTTCTGCGTTTTTCTTGGAGGAGATCTTGAAGTCTATCAGCGCCTTTTACCGAGATTTTTCCCTTCAGAGGATAAATATGACCAAGAAAGCGAACAGGAACAAGAGAAAGACATCGACGAGACAGAAACTGACTCGAAAGAAGATGAAAGAGCTGAGAACAAACCAAGAGAAGACAGACAGGACAAACCTAGCTCCAAAGGAAATGGAAAAGACGATGTAAAAAAAGGAGAACAAGGAAAAGGGAAGGAAGTTGGAGTTGAAACAAGATTCCAAGATAGCTCCGAGAACGATAGAAAGAATAAACAAAGCTTATCAGGAAATAAAAAAGAGGGATTTAAAAAAGGAGAAGAGGCAAAAGAGAAGGAAGGTGGAGGTGAACCAAGAGCTGAAGAGAGCTCCGAGAACGTTAAAACGGATAAACACAGCTTATCAGAAAAAAAAAAGAAAAAAGGAGAAGAGAAAACAGAAGGTGTGTTCTTGTGCTCTTTTTTTTTACTTGTTTCATGTAGCGGAAGCCTATTTAAATGCAATTCAAACTTCGTAGTTCAAAGCTAAGGTTGCCACTTTTTTAAAGGTTTATCCTTCACCGTTATGTTGTAAATTTAGTATAAGTAGCCGGTCTTTTTGGAAGAAAGCATATTTTCATTAGGTAACATTTTTTCTACATCCTTTCCTGTTTGGCCTTTTCCCCTTTTATTTAACGGTAAATGAAATCCCACTTATCGACCGTTGTGGAACGGAAGGTACCCCAAATTGTTTCATCCGAAAAAAGATTCGGTATTCTGTAGGTTACATTTAGGTACTTTCCACAGTCAGTAACTGTCGCAAATGTGTTGCATTCTTTCTTTAAGATGTCGAGATGCGTGAGGAATCTATCAAGGAAAGAGTTCCCGACCAACCCAAACTTGAAGAGTTCCGAGATTCCCAAGAGGACATCACAGAGGTCGAACCTGAGAAGGTTGTGAATCAAAACGCCCCCTCTGAAGGGCAGGACACAACCAAGGAGAAAAAACTTTGTGATAAACAGAGTTTATCAGGAAATGAAAAAGAGGAAGTTAAAAAAAGAGAAGAGGCCAAAGTGAAGGAAGTTGAAGGTGAACCAAGAGCGGAAGAGAGCTCCGAGAACGTTAGAAAGGATAAACACAGCTTATCAGAAAAGGAAAAAGAGGAAGTCAAAAAAGGAGAAGAGGCAAAAGAGGAAATAGGAGGTGTGTCCTTGTGCTCTCTTTTTTTACTTGTTTCATGTAGCGGAAGCCTATTTAAATGCAATGCAAACTTACTAGTTCAAAGCTAATGTTGCCACTTGTTTAAAGGTTTATACTTTACCATTGTGTTGTAAATTTAGTAAGTAGTCTTTTTGGAGAGAACGGCATATTTTCGTAATGCAACGTTTTTTCTAGATCCTTCCCTTTTTGGCCTTTTCCCCTTTGAACGGTAAATGAAATCCCACTGTAAAACAGAAGGTATCCGAAATGATTTCTCGTGAAAAACGATTCGTGGAGTACAACACCAGTATTCTGTAGTTTACATGTAGGTATTTTCCACAGTCATTAACTGTCGCAAATGTGTTGCATTCTTTCTTAAAGATATCGAGATGGCGGATGTGGAAGGAGTTCCCTACCCACCCAAACTTGAAGAGTTACAGGATTCCCGGCCAGAGGACATTACAGACGAGAAGGTTGTAAGTAAAAGCGTCCCCTCTGAAGGGCAGGACACAACCAAGGAGGAAAATCTTGGTGATACCAGTCGGGAATAAGAGACCTGGCCGTATAAACTGCAAAAATCAGTGAAGTTTTCAAAAATTATTGGTGTCTAAGCGCGCGCGTTCTGACTGCTTTTAATATGAAAGCCTCTATCCGTAAAACTACTTTGGTCGCCTGCATGCGTAGCTGGCGGTTTTCTAGTGGGTTTCTTCTTTTGTGGTTCGTAAGGTAAGAGATTTAGCTGTCCGTAATTTACCATAGAGCACAGACTTGTGTAAATGGCCGTTTCGAGCCCAAATTTCCCTGGGTGCCAGAGACTTTTCTAGCGCGGTTTCCGCTCGTGGCTTCGGCCTACGGCCGAAGATGTGTCGGCCTTCGGCCAACACCGAAAATTTCCGCCGCACGCGAGAAAAACCTCTGGTACCCAGGGTAAGCTCAAACAGCCCTTTGCGAAAATTCCTGGTTTACGTTTGCATACACAAGATCGTAAGTTGAGAATTGCATGCCCATTTCGTTATGTAATATCACGCGATCTTTTACTCAAGCCAATCCTCCTGAGGGGAGAAGCGCGACATTTTTCTTAAAGAGAGACAAGTTTTGCCCTCACTTCGTCTTTAGCACCTACAAAACCAACCTCCAGAGAGAAAAGGAACTTTTTTTCTTGAAATCGCGCCGTCCATTTTGCGTGGGAGAGCGTTTAACCTGAAGAAACACAACCCACAGGTCTTTTGACGGAACGTTTTTTTTTCCCAAGTATCAATTTTCAGTTAGTGTGTTCGAAGGAAAGTTAATCTAATCACCCGAATGAAAACATTTGTTAGAGAGAGGTATAATTGACCAGATCGTCAAGATGATAGATGAATCCGCCAAAGTATATTTCTTTTATTTATTTCAGTTGAAGAATGGACGAATGTAGTTATCTTGAATTATCTATCAATATTAGTAACAGTACAAAATGTGTTGAGTTTTTGAGCGTTTTATAAGAGAAAGGAAAGAATATTTGTAAACTTTGAATTTGTTATGTTCGATAAAGGGAAGACACAGTATGAAACACCCCTGTCGACTTTTGTGATTATTCAGTGGCGGTTCCAGGGGGAGGGTCCGCCCCTCCCCCCCCCCCCTCCCTATTAGACCTGACGCTTGTTTGCGACTGAAATTCTTACATCGACAGGATTGTATATTACTTTTTAACTGGCTGATTTTTTTTAAAGAAACGCACTTTGCACTTTGCCACTAAACTAAATCCCAGGGATATTAAAAAATGTATTTCTTTTTGGTTTCCCTCCTATCATCTGTTAGCCCCTGCACGCGCCAACGGGGACCGGCGTTCACACATTGAGAAACACGTGGTCGTCTCTACTTTCTCATCTGGTCGACAATTATGCATCCTTTACGAGCACAGGGACAAGGAATTATAACGCGCAACCGCGACTGATGGGAAGGGGTGTGGGGGAGAAGTAATTTGCCACAAAAAAGTTCAACAGTCCTTTCTGAACCAAAGTTTGGACCCCCCTCCCCCCAATAAAAAATTCCTGGATCCGCCCCTGTTATTTATGTAGTTAGTATGCCGTTTCTCGTGGGTGCATCGGTCGTCCCGTAAAGTTCACTCAAGGCTGAGCGAAAAAGCTGAAAACTTAAGGATTTTTTCAAATGAGTGGGGGCTACCCATGACTTTAAGGTTCTTACTTACTCATGCATAGACTACGAGCAGTCTCTCTTTTTTCTTGGTACGTCGAGCAAAACGGCCGAGACACGCAAATGACCACGCGCGTGACTGATGGCGCGAGACGGGAGAGGCTCTTTTTTCTTCTCAGGCTGCCGCCCTCGTTTCTCGCGTCTCGCGGCTTCGCCGCTCAACGCTCGCGCGCGCGTGCACTCCCCTTACTAAATCTGAAGAAAAAGAGATACTGCTCGCAGTCTAACTCATGCAACGTTGAAAAGCGTCACCTTTATGTTAATGACGTACGTCTGGTACAGCCTCCTCCTCAGGCGCTTTGTTTTTCGCATGGCAGAGGCGAGCGCGAAACGCGAGTGACTGGTGATGAACCGCAAGGGACCATGGGAAGGGTCTCCCTCCCGCCTTCCTTTGCGCGCACATTTTCATCAAAAGAGAGACGTCTGGGTACGAGGCAGCGTCTGGTAGGTCCGTCCGCCCGTAAGGGGCATTTTTTATTGTTCTTGTAGCGCAAGGCTTCGGAGCCAGGTTCGTTTCCTGCCGTCGCCCATATTTTCCTCCGAAGAAGTTTTAATGATAAATGGCGTTGTTTTGCAACCAGAGATACCGGGTTCGGACCTGGCATCGCCCTTTTTTCATTGTATGGCCATGGTTACTGGAGTAAACACTATTCATTGCCAGTAAGCACATATCCTCCTGTTTTATCCTCTACAATCTGATTACCAATATTTTTTCTTTTTAAATTATTATTATCTTTTAGTTGGTTTAATTTTTCTATTTTTTATTTTTGTTCATTACTTGTACATGTAGATTATGTAAATTATCACGTTGTAATTTTTATGGCACATTTGCATTTAAACGAGCTATCGCTCATATGCTCATATGTGGTTAAATAAAATTACTTACTTACTTACTTACTCTTAGAGGACTATTTTTTCATTTGTGCATTACTTTGAAGTAACACACGGCTAAATGATCCGAAATCCTGTTGAAAAGTAGCTTAGACATTTCGTTTTAAACAAAACGTGGTTCAGTTGTATTCGTTTCATAAAGAGATGAGGAAGTAGCCGTGAAGTAGGAACCGATAAACCCTACTCTGAATGACGTTACGAGTGCTACTAAGCTGGAGATGGTTCGTGAAGACAGTTCAATCCTTTTCGGCAGACAGACACAATTAATTTCTCCGGGAAAGGACTTTATTTTTCTAATTCCAGTTGAGAAGATGACACTGTATTTCGTCACTGGTCGCTCTCCGAGCCTTAAAAGCCCATCTGATCTATATTAATCCTTCTCCAAAGATAGCGAAAGACAAAGGCTTGAACGAATGACGATTGATCACGTTCGTAACAACTTAAAGTTAATTTAACCGAAGGCATCTGATCGCAGTATAGTATTGCACAGTACAGTAATTAAGAAGAATCCTGAAACAAAACAAAAAAAAGAAAAGAAAAGAATAGCACGTCTAGCAGAGCGAGGTTTTGATCCTCGGACCTCTGGGTTATGGGCCCAGCTGGCTTCCACTGCGCCACTCTGCTCTCGTTGCCTTTCCTGCTGACCAGCGGCCAGTAATTCATTCTGTTACAAGATACATTAATCGCCAAACACTTCGGAGCTTTATATCTAAATCCTCAGTTTTTAGAATTTTTTGCCCCAATAGGTCTTGAGTAGCTTTTGGACTTCTGAAATTTCAACGAAACTTTACTTCCGGACTTTTGGCAAAAATTTTGGCCCGAAATTTTTAATTGTATGGCGATTAAAGCTTCTAACTATGAAAAAGAAAAGTAAAAAAATGAGAAAGACCTTTGTAACTATTTAAACATATCAGAAAGTGAAATGCCTAGAGCTTTCGTACCGATTATTATATCAATTTCAGAGGAGGCATTGTGGTGCGTCCCTTTAAAATTGAAAACCATAACACATGATTTTACCGTCAGCAGAGTGGCGCAGTGGAAGCGTGCTGGGCCCATAACCCAGAGGTCCGAGGATCAAAACCTCGCTCTGCTAAGAGATTTTTATTTTTTGTTATAAACTCGAAAAATATGATAATGACTGCCACGTCGACCAACAAAGTAAAGTTAAGAATTAAAATTAATATAGAGATTTTGCCAGGGCTAAAAGCGAAGCTCTCGATAAAATCGTGTAATGCTAAGCGGCGAAGGCGAAGAGAAGGATGAATAAACAACAACGGGTCTAATTAGCAAAACAGCAACTTTGCACGTGCAGCACACTATTTTTTGTACAAGTATCAACGTGTAATTGACGTGTTCAAAAGAAACGTATTTCCATAAGTGCATGCCGGTGATATGTGTTAACCCAATGAGAGCATGCGAATCGTCTTTCTAGAAAAAGGTATGAATACCAATGATTATATCAATTTCAGAGAAGGCATTGTGGTGCGTCCCGTAAAGTTGAAAAATATCACTTATGACTTAATCGTCAGCAGAGTGGCGCAGTGGAAGCGTGCTGGGCCCATAACCCAGAGGTCCGAGGATCAAAACCTCGCTCTGCTAGGAAAATTCTACTTTTTGTTATATATCTTGAAAAAAATGATAATGACTGTAACGTCAACAAAAAAAAAAGTTTAGAATAAAAAATAACATACAAATAATCGATAATAATCTAATTAAGGAATGGAATTGAACTAAAAAGAAGTCAAACAGAAGCAAATATGAAAGGTCCAATAGCACTTTTCGTTTTAAATAAAAACTGAAACAAAACTTATTTTCGGAAATACAATGTACTACATCAAGCATGGGTGAATTTAATCCACTTTTATTTCATTCATTTTCTTTAACAAAGTTAACTTACTTAAGCATTATTTTATGTGTCTCACGAAACATTCAACAAACAACTTCAGAGTTGTAGAGCACACTTTAATAGAAATATTTCGTTATTATAAATATAATTCACGAGTTTGAATCCATCATAATTATTACTGAATGTTCGTATCGTATCCATATGGGATTTTGTGAGATGTTTGTTAACATGAGGAATACGTTTCGGAAAGTGTTTACGTTTATTCACGTTTACGTGAATACGTTTCGAAAATTTCATGAGTCTCCGAAACATTCTACAAACAATTTTGTACAGCACAACTTAATAGAAATATTTCGTTATCATAAATATACTTCACGAGTTTGAATCCATCATAATTATTACTCAGCTGATTACTGAACGTTCGTATCATATCCATATGGGATTTTGTGAGATATTTGGGATACGTTTCGGAAAGTGTTGCCGAACTACCCATGGACGCGACATTCATCAACACTGGTTAGGGTTTCTCCTAAAAAGAAAGAGTCTAATAAAAATCTCCCTTTAGATCCTTGCTTAACCTTCTTTCAAAATTTTGTTCAAATGAATGTATTAAGGATGTTGAAAGCGTCAAAAAAGTCTGTTGAACAAACCATAATAACGCTTGGTTATGTGTTACGTCTGTATGACAACATAATTGCAAATGGTTGAAAGGAAGCTATAGGGATAAGTCGTGATGAGTAACCAACCAGAAACACTGAGAAAAAAAACAACAAATAATCATATCCTGACAAAAATAGGGGACTTTGAGAACCAACAAAGCGACGGCAACGAGAAGGTGAAAAAGAAAAAGAGGCTTAATGAGTAAAACAACAACTTTGCAAGTGCATCACACATTATTTTTATATTTCTTTGCTGTTTTTGCACGACTACGGCGTGAAAATTTCTACTTGCCCATTTTACATTTACAGTTGGAAAAGAGGCTGGAGTTGACCTTGTTTTGATACCTTCTCCTTTATTATTATGTAAATCATGTTGTTGTTATGATAACTAGTATTTATTAAGCAAAATTTCCATTAGAAAAGAAAGGAGGTTTGTATCAAAACAAGGTCGACCTTAGCCTCAAGTTCACTCAGAGGCTAGGACACCAAGCCCACAACCGTAAAATTCATGGGGCAAGGTAAACAAACAACGTCGAAGTTTTATTTCTCTTACTGAACTTGGATATGGTCCCTTGGAATTCAACTTTAGGAGGGTTCACCTACACTTGACAAGTAAGTTTGTAGGAATAATTGCTTTAAGGACTGAAAGAACGCAAATTCAGGTTTTAGGTGACGTCCTTGTTGTCGTCGTGTCGTTGGATCTTAAGCCCCTTGCAAACGGACGCAACACTCCCAAAAATGTTGGGAGTTGTTGCGTCCGTTTGCACTTAGCTAAAAGTTTGACCGGTTTCAAACTTAGTGTAACAACTCCCAACAACATGCAACAGGGTGTGCAAACGAACGAAACATGTAACATCCAGCAATGTTGGGAGTTGTTGGCCAACAATGTTGCGGTCGTTTCCACTGGACTTTAAAACTCCCTAATTTCTTACTTGCACGGACAGTGTCGTTTAAAGTCAACTCGCGCTTTAAAGATACCTCGGTAGCTAAATTCCCACTAAAACTTAGGCCTAGGCCAAACATCGAACTTTTCATGAGACGAACCAAATTCTAATTTGGGTCGAGCTAAATTAAGTTAAGATCGTCTGTTGGGTCAGACGTCAAACTTAGGACGCGTCGAAACAATCAACTGAATCAGACCAAAGAGCAGTTTTAACTCAGTTTAATAAATTTTCTCCCGAACGAAGCTAAATATACATTATCTTACAAATTTCTAATTTATTATTTCATTTCGTCGCATTTGAAGATCAATGTTTGTTCCGGAGACGATCTTCAGACGTTCTATCCATCTGAAGCAAACGGATAGAACGTGTTGGACGATTCAAACTCATTTAGACAAACTTAACTGAGCCAGACGTCAAACTTTTCATGAACTTAACTCACAAAGTTTGTGCCTCTCACGAAAAGTTCAACGTTTGGCCTAAACTTTGCAGAAGTTTGACTGAAACAAACGCCCGTTATTAGGGGCAATCGAGTCCGCAGGTCCCTAGAGACTCTGCAAGTCTCGAGGATCTTCGCAAGTCCCGAGGGTGCGTGCAGGTCCCGAGGGAAGTTATCAGGGTTCGAAGTTGTCCGGAGTTGACTGTAAACGGGTTCCAAAAGATCTTATGATAACCTTGATCTTTTCTAGCAACGTTCACTTCGCAAACTCTTCGTTTCTGAAACACAATCTTATGCATAACCCAGATCAAATGTTTAGCAGATGTTATCTTTGCAAGAGATTTTTTCGCCCTGTGGACGGTGAACCCCTGTTCATTTTGAGGTCATTAACATTCCTCCACAAGTCGTCAAGGCTTTTACCAATGTCTCCCAATCCAATGAGATTCTTTAAACTTTCCTTGAAGAATGCAAGATCAGACGTGACGAGCCTGAAATACGAAACACATTTAGTCACTCAGTTCACAGCTTTCTGTTTCGTTTGTCCAAACTGTCAAACAATTCATTGCAGTCAGTATGGAGCGCTGACGTTTTTCCCTCGGAACCGTACCATGAGACACTTCGTGACAGTTACGTAGAGATCTAAATGTCATTCGCACGAATCGAAGGGATACCCTATGCCGTTTGGTGAATTATTTCTTATCTTTAATGACTAGAGGTTGTCACTGATTAAGGATTCGCGTTCGTCACTTGAGTAGAAAGGAGTCCTGTTTCCAGCCGAGATGTCCCTGATAAAATCAGTAGGGGCGGCCAATCGGCAGTCGCCCGCGACACCTCGAAAATTTGTGGCTATGTACCACACAGGAACACCAAGATTAGGATGCGTTCTGACGAACGCGAATACTTACCCATGCTGTGGGCCACCATCGTTGCTAACTCCTAACCTGTCCAGTTTATGCGCCAGACTCGTTTTAAACGCTCTTTTGACATCTCGGAATATTGACTTGAAAACAATAATGATCAAAAATACTTTTCAGGCAGTAAGAACGGTTAGTGCAATGTAAGCAGTAAATTTCACCACCAAGCCCCGTTTGTGAAGAGAATTCTTCGCATTAGCGATCTCTTTGTATAGGTATTCTTTTCACTCCACCCGCCAGCCTCGGAAATTTACCGAAGGAAAACTTTGCAAATTTACAATTTCAAAATGAGACTTGCTGGTGGACGTAAATATGCACGAGCTATTTACAGCGCAAATCTGGTTGTCCTAACACACAATGGAGTTTTGAATGTAAACGGCACAAATGCAATGAAACTAGCTTAAGTGTAGCCGCACCCTCCCCCCGACAGCGGAAAAACGGAGAGAGAGAGTTTTTTGTCGGGGGTAGGGTGCGGCTACACTTAGGTTACAATGAAACAAACGAGAGGAGGCGAAAGGAATGCTGGTTCTACCGCAATAACTTGAATTAAATAACTTGAATTAAAATAAGACAAATCTACAGCTGGATACTCGGGGTTATGTTTAGAAACTTACCTCAACATGAGTTTCAGGTAGAACAGACGATAAAGATTCGTGAAGTTTTGTGATTTGCTTGACAGCGCTGCGCATGGCTTGAGACGGCATAGGAGCTTTAACTTCCCACTGATAAAGATGAAACGTAAATAAACACAAAAAAGTCAGAGGAGAACGAATTTACAATAAAAATGTGCGGCAAACATCAGTGGCTGGCTAACTTTGGCCGAGTTATCCTTGTTAGCCTAGGGCCTTACCTGGTGAGTGTTCTACTCGTATTTTTAATGTCTGCACACCTGTACCTCATTCAGCTAAATTGCCATAAAGTACACGCCTCTCTGGAGGCATTTCTGCGATTTGTGTCACGCTCTCCATAGCACGATTGGCGAAACATGAACTCATGTTTTCAACACGACCCTCGTGAAACAGGTGAGGGTTTGCCGGAGTTTGTACAAAATAATAGCCAAGTTAGATCAAGTTCTGAACACTTTTAAAATTTCTCGATATCGCGGCGACAAATCACACTAGACATTCCATACAAAAAGCTCTAAACTTCAGACTTGTGATTTGCAATGTGAACTCTAGCGCCAAAAAGGAAAAAGAAAACTGTCCAAGGAGAGTCCATGCAAGATTAGGGTTTGATGTACCTTTGAGAAAATATTTTTGAACAGTTCCTCCATAAGATTCACAATTTTACCAAACAGTTCCTGACGGTGATTGTTATAATCCTGTAGAGTAACAAAACAAACAAAAATTATGAGTCAACTTATGAGTCAAAAGTAAAAATTTATTTCTTCAAGGACCAAGGCCCAAGTTTCAGGTCAACTACTTTTTTCCTTTCCATCTACCTTAAAACTGATTTCGACACGTATTAATATTTAGTAACGTATGCATATTTATGGCTTTTTTGCGAAAAAGGCTAAATTCGTTGCCCCACTATACTAAGTGTCACACACTCACGCAAAAAGAATTGCTTTGCTTGTATCACCTTAAGAATCTGGTCAAACTGTGATAACAGCACGTATTGTTTAGGTGGAAGTCTCTGTTCAAAATGTGCTTTGAATACAGGGATATGAATTGTGACAACCTCTAAACATCGGGAAGCAAGAGCTGTGAAATGGACAAAAAGAACATAGCAACGTCAGGGACATGCATGTAAACATAAACATCATGGACTGTTTGCGCAGGTCTAAACAAAGGCACCAACTACAATCTCTACAAAGCGTTACTTCTTTTGATAAATACCTAGATGCTTGGCGGTAATTGTCTTGAGTCCTACAAGCTGAAGAGCGCCAGCTCCCAAAACCAGCTGGCACGTTCTTGAGTTGAACATCTACAAGAAATACGGGGGCATAATAAAGCGTGTATTGAGAATTTCAGCTTCAAGTGGATATTGGGGTTTTAGACGACAACAGTAATAAGCGCCTACGTTTTGACCATTTTTCGGCATTTCGATCGCCGTTCTAATCATAAGTGTTTTATTTGTCATGCCATAACGCGCGTGTGTATAATCACGTCAAGCCTCGCAAGTATTGTTACTATCCCTTGTGCTTTTCATTTTCAAGAGTTTTATAAGAAATTCTTCCTGTTTTCACATTTTGTGATTTCTGCAGTAGTGTGTCGTCTCTGATTCTTCCCGCTGATGCGTTCTTGTAACCATTAAAAGCTTTGATTAGAGCAAAGTGAAACAAAGAAAGAAACGCAGAAAACTGTTACCTTAAGAGTCTCAAAGAGTTTATTCATGATGTCTGTGACCAACATTGGCGTATCATCTACACACTGACAGTACTCCACTAACATGTTGACAAGTAATAAAACCGTCCTGCAAAACAAACAAACAAAAACGGTGGACGTCACAGGCTGAAAAAGAAAATCCATTATTCAAATCGTTCAGCTCTCTAAACTCACCCAACAACAGCAAATCTCTGTCCATTTACAACTAAATTTGGTGACGGTTTTTGTTCACCAGGCACGGTAGGACCTAAAAAACATTACAAGGTTCTGAATGAGATTATGACGTCACCACAATAGGTCACTTATTCAAAGAGAACTCGATGAAAGGTCTGACCAGTTTCCTTATGAAATTCTCATAACCTTTTCTCTCGATGATGTATTAATATTCCTACGAGAAAATTAATATTGGTCACCCTTGGGACTACAAGGGTCAACGTTACTCATTGAAGTATTCTATCGACAGCTCATATTCACCTATCGAAAACTTGGGTTCTTTTCCTCGTGGGTATATACCTAAAGGAAACAGAAACTACAATTAATGTTCCAAGAAGCAAATAGGTGAAAAACTATTCATGTATATTTGAGAGAAACGCAGGTTCATGTACTGCTTACCATCGACTAGAGAATCCACAAGAGACTGTAATTCGGAAGGAACATCTGCTTGCTTCCATCTTTCATTATCTAATATCAAACTGAGAGTAAAACAAAACAAAGTCAACATCCTTTTCTGGCCATCATGGACTGCAAGCAGCTCACACAACTTCAGTCTTACTAAGCCATTATCATCCTAATCATAATTATAATCATTATTATTATCATCATTATCATAATCATCATCATTATCATCATCATCATCATCATCATCATCATCATCATCACTGTGACCATCAACTCTTACGAAGCCAGACTTGCCTACTTCGGCTTGTTAAAGTAAACATTTCAAAGAAGATGTCATGTAATTTCCACCGGATGGTAAGCCAGGGTATCACATCACCCGAGCTGAGTAGACCACATCACCCTATAAAACATTCAACAACCCCTCTTTGTACCTCAGTTTATTCCTGCGTTCTTCGTGGAATCTTTCCACAAATTTCTTGGCTTGCGTGAGCAGTGTGGCTCTGAGGCTATGGCTTTGTCTGCCGCATATCCTCTCACAATCCATTACAAAATCCTCCACCATTCGAGTCAACCTGACGAACTCAGAGGACGATAAGCTGTCAAGATACCCAGCCTGCAATACAACGTAGCACACACTGTTACGGCTGCCATCTACGAAAAGAACAGCCTGCGTAGAATGGCGGTTTTGGTTCAGCGCGCAAAGCAATACGCTCGTTTGCGCGCGTTTTTGCGGCTTCGCCGCTCAGTAGTGCTTCCGACACATCCTCATGCAACGCAGGCTACGAAAAGAAAGGTTAGAAACTCCCACCAGGGAAGCCCATGTTCAGTTTGGTACCACGTGATGTGAATTAACCAATCAGATAACTGGATAACTAATGCTCTTCATACCCGATAGTGACCACGTGAGGTGTTTTATTTAATAACACTGACAAAAAAAATAAGTTGGCTACCAAGCCTCAGCTGTAAGCGTTCTTACTAAGAGTAACCTTTCTGATTGGTCAATTTTTGATTTTCATTCGCGGCCGTTAGGTACCAGCCACGAACAGGGTTTACCTAATCCTTATTAAAGCTTGTGATACAAAACAAAAGTGCCATGTACTAACAAAACCAGAGATAAAATACCGCCTGGTGAACACTGTTCCCTGTTTGAGAAGAAATAAGTACAATCTCGTACTCATAATACACACATTTCTCTTCTTATTTTATTACCAAATTTTTTTAAAATTATTATTTCATTTTGTTTGACATAAAAGAAAACACTACTAATACAAGAAGGGGTGAGATTGTACGAGACTTCCGCCATTGATTGAACAAATGTTGGTGCAAAAATGTGGAATCCTCGCAGATTTTGTAGGGGCCAATGAGGTCATTACCAACTTGCCGTCCTCTATGTGACTGCCGCAAACTTTCCTGATGACAATGTCTAACTTAATTTGTCTTTTGTGCCTAACAATACAACTCTGGGAAAATTTATCCACGAACAGACTGAGTTGGGTTACTTGTATTCAAGTTTGAAAGAAGGCACCTTCATTACATACTGTGGCATTTTTACGGTCTTCATCGCTGACTGAGTTTGACACGACACTTTATTAACTCTCTAAGGTCAAAACTTCCCTATAACACTCACCTTTCCTCTGACATTGATGAGTTTAGCGCATCGCAACTGTGCCATTTCACATGCAGCGCACAGCAGTTCTTTGCTCTCCTGAGTCAGTTTACGACAGTCATTTGCAGATATTAAAATATCCACGTTATTGCTGAAATGACATGATGAATGGTCATTGTCAGCCACACCCCACCCATCAATGGACAGGAGAAGTAGTTACGTCACGTTGCCATGGTAGCAAAATTTTTGGATGACAACAAACCAAAAATTCACTTAAAAGTAAATTCGCACTGTTTCAAACTTCATCGATCTTTTTCAATTTCATTTAATTTGTCAAATGTTGGAGAAATTTTCTGGATTGAATCCGAAAGGGCCATCTGTGAGATTAGAAAAAGAAAAAGAAACTTTTTGTGTTGCGTTCACCTACTCCGTAAAGTGGGCGCATGTCGCAGTCGTGCAACAACAGCTAAAAAATGTGCGAAAAAGAGTGATGCACGTGCAAAGTTGTTGTTTTACTACGATAAATTTATTGCTTTTTTTGCCGTCCTCGTTGCCGTTGCCTTCGTTGTTGCCCAAGCTCCCTTTGTTTTGATCCAAACATTTTGGTACCATGGTAACGTGACGTCACATTCTCCTCTCTATTGGATGTAGGCCAAGCATGTTGTTTAATTTAAAAACAGACTAAGGAACTTGGGAGGGAAAGAGAAGTGTTGGGCTTAGAACATTGAAAGACTTAAACTGCGCCAGACTCGACTAGCTTCTTTGCAGGCACAATCTACAGAATTAGTCGATCGAGTGATGCATGTGTGCTAGCATCTCAAGGGAGAAGGCAGTTTGACTTGGTCAAAGTTATTAAAAAATTGCAGCACGGAGATGTTAGGGCTACATCTAAAGACAAGGAAAGCATACTACTGCACCTGTGATTCATATTTATTGCAATAATTTCTATACTATATCATGGATCATGTTGTTGAAATAAAATGACATATGGGTTGAATTAATGAAAGGTACTACGCACTGAGGGATGGACAAAAAGATATCGTTAATTTCCTCACCAGACTGGTTTATACGAGCTGGCTTCAGATTCAAGCATATCCACGCTTTCTAAATCAACAGGGTCAGAGTGTGAACGCAACTTGGATCCGCCCGCTGCCATCACTAAGACACGAACCATGCTCTCATGTAATACCTGGATACAAGCCAATGGTTGTTAGTAACCAATGGGTGATGAATCAGATGATTTTCAGTATTTTTGGAACCTACATCTAGCTATTCAAGACTTTTGTAATATATGTAAACCAATGTGCATGGTTGTGATGGTTGCCACAGCAATGGTTTAACCTCTTATACAAAACCTTGATATTAAAACTGGGGAAAAATATGACTGCCTTTTTACATGTACATTCTTATAGTATGTTGACATAATAAAGTCAGTTTTACCGTACTATTTTCAGTTATGTCTAAATATAAATGATTTTTTGGGTACATAAAGGATAACGTGAGGAATAGTATCAGAAACAGTAGATGTCTTTTTATTGGGGAAGGAAAAGTATGTAAACTTCTAGGCAAGTCAAATCTTATCTCATTCACAATTCATCCCTTACATGTAAACCAGTGATCTATAAACTAATACAGTCAACTCTCTCTAAGTCGGACACCTTTGGGACCGGCACTAAGGGTCCATCTTAGAGAGGTGTTCCGTTTTATAGAGAGTCAAATAAAGGGAGTAGAGAAAGGCAGGGACCAAATCTAGGTGTCCATTTTACAGAGGTGTCCGTCTTATAGAGGTGTCCGTTAAGAGAGAGAGTTGACTGTACAGTCAAACCCTACTTAGATACCTGCTTAGAATGGACAACTCATTATTACGGACAGTTTGCTTTGTCCTCAGGGAAGGAAAGCCCTTACTTTTTCTCTAAATTTAACCTGCTTAATAAGGACACCCTGTTTACATGAACACTTTCTAAGACCCCCTCAGTATCCATTTTAACATGGTTTGACTGTAACTATGTACCTGCATTCTCCTTAGCACATTCAGTGATGTACTGAACACTTTTTCTAACATGACCATCCACTGGAGAAAATCCAAGCTCCTCACAACTTCAGCAAGACTTTGACTATAAATAATAAGCCAGTAATAAGCAATGAGCAAAAGAGTACGTAGAACAAATCTATTAAATACAAATTATATTGCAATGGCCTTAGTAAATACCTTTCTTCTTCATTTTCGTGATTCTCTTTCACAACATCTTGAACTGTCTGTTTCAAAAGGATAAAATCAATGTGGTGGCCGATAGTGAAGAAATTTTGTTATTCCAATTCTACTTTAACCACCCAATATCTATTATAGAATTCAAAGGGAGTTATGGGCCCACTGTCAACCCTGTAAGTATATTTTTTCCAAAATTTATTAGTCATCTTTCAAAAATTTTAAGTAAAAGAAATATTAATGGGCTACCCCTAAGTAAAAACTCCTCTCTTTTAGAACGATGCAAAGTGTTAAATTTTTCATGACTGGAATGAGTATCTAGTATCAGAATTACAAAAAAGTACATTATTGACCCAAGACGGTGGTTTAACGACACTCTTTTTCTATGTTGTGATCCACTTGTTTTTGACCTTCACTTGATGAAGAAAGTTCCAAAATGTGTCATCAAACTTCATCACAGGTACTTTGACAGTTAAGAAAAATTGCATTGACAAACCTGTCTTATAGTGCTTTTAATTGTGGAATACACCTCATCACGATATGGTTGGAGAAAGTGAAACTTGTGTTTCCGAAGAAGACCAAACAAGACTGACATAAGTCTATCCTGTTAAGAGAAGGTAAATACAACAGTTTTTTTTATTACTATTACTATACAAAGCAGTTGTGAGAAATTCTCTGGCTTTTTTTCTTATATTTTTTGCTTTCCATCTCCATGCAGGAGGTTATTTTTAATGCTCCCTAATTTGCTTTGCTTGCTTTGCTATTACAGTTTAAAGAAACAAGTTTGAACATGCCTCATCAACAAGGTCTTCATTCCCCAGCTCATCCTCCGCTACTCTGTTCAGATTAGCTGTAGCAAACTCCACAAAATCTGCCTCCATCATTTTCTCAATGACACGCTCAAGTTCAGCTAATTGCGAGCCTAAATGCCTACAAGAAAACGAAGCATTTAACGACAAACTTCAGGTACAAGTTCACCCTAGCCCTCACACCAAACAGAAATCTTACTTTTAGTACTGTAGTTTAAATTGTCCCTAATTGACGACAATGAATAAAATGACATGTTACATGATTTTTTCACAGTTGTCATAAGAAATGTATGGAGAACAGTATTTCGAGTAAGTAAATTTTGGCCAGAAATTAGGCTACTGTTCAGATGATCGACGAAGGTTGATTATTAAAAAGAATACAGAAGACCATTTTGTAGGCAAACAAGTGGTGGTACTATGAAAATTAATTTAATTTCAGCTATTTTCTAAGGCTTCTAAAAACCATCATTTGCTAAAAACTCCCAACTGGGCCCAGGTTACAATTTTGTGTAAAATAAAGAAATTTAAGATAGAAATCGACAAAAATTAAATATATGTCAAGGTTTATTTACATGGTTTGCATTCTAAGCACAAGAGAACAGGATGCAGTCACCCTACCTGAAACTCTGAATTCCGGCCAGTTCTTGATGCAAGACTTCCTGAGTGGTGCTGATCAGATCTAATGCACCAACAAAGTCTGACGTTGTTAACAACAGCTGAATTGTAGGCTGTGTTTGATGAACTGTGGCCATCAGCTTGAGCTAAAAAAACAATAATTAACATCACTGCAAGTACTTCAAAATGAACTGCAACTATGGTATACAGCTTACTCACATTATTTTTCAGACTTACCTTTTCATACACACTGTAATATCTTGACCGTAATGACGATAGCCTAAGAACATCCAAGAACCCAGAACACAAAACTTCTTGTACCTTTTGAACCTTGGTTCTAAATAACAATATTTTTTATTATTAGTTAGCAGCACATAAAGAAATCATGATTATACATGTAAGAGCTATGCTCTTATTCTTTAACTCTAAGGGGTGACCAAAATCAATTTTCTCCTAAAAATATCAATACTAAGTCAAGAGAACAGGTAAGAAGAATTGATAACATGATCACCAAAGGGGAAATGCTTTGATCTTTTATCAAGTTCTCACAACTAGTTTTGTTAGAAATGTATAGAGATCACCCTGGAGAGTTTGTCTGTGGATATTGGAGGCTTAAAGGGTTAAAACTGCCTTGGAGTCTCAGCTACATTGTAGCTGCTTAACTTATGCCTTGGGCATTTCAACGGGAAAAACTTCAATAGATATAATACAAGGTAGCCTGTGACACTTAAAAAAAACACAGGGCCTTGATGATAGGCAACACTGTTTCTCAACTGACAGTGAAAGAGTGGCCAAGGGATAGGAATTGGCTCACTACAGATAACCAACCTAACCCAGGAAAGGTTAGCCACACCTCAGCGGTCTACATCGCCTACTCTTTTCAAACAGTGGTGCAAGTTCTTTTACATCCCACAAGAACCAGATAAGTGAAAGTGCTGTGAGATGGGACCTACGGTTTCTCATCCTTATTCGGGTAGACGAGAAAGTCTAACTGTTTGCTGATGTTATTACAAGGGCAGCACTTTCTTCTTAGTTATTTAAAGACCCTCAGTGTTGATCTGGCTGGGGTTTGAACCCATGACCTGCCACTCAGCAGACCGGCACTCCCCCAAATGAGCTAACCAGGTGGTGGTTCAGCATAAAAAACTAAAGAAGAGTTGACGAGCATGTTGCTGTAGTCACCTCAGGTGTTTAATCTCACTGATTGTCTGGCCCACGTGATCTTGAAGCTGATCTTGTGATGCCATGGCACTGAAAAAGTCTTCTGATCTGAGTGAGATTTGATGTGCAAGGTTTACTTCGGTGATATCAAGGTAATGTGACAGCTGCAGAGGGAAGATGCAAATTAAACAGTCTCATTAACAATGGCCCCTGGCATACTGAACAAATTATTGGAGTTAATTGAGGGTTGATCAAGGCAGGTGTGAGCCCTCTGTTTACAGTCAATCTTAACCAACTCAGCCCAAGGAAAAAAAAGGGTAAGGCCCCTCCAAATGATACAGCTTATCAGGAATTACTATATCAATGTATGACAGACAGGAATGATAACTGAGTTTCATAATTTTATAATCTGTCAACATTGAGATCATACATTGCATATTATTATTTTACTCTCACAACTAAATTGACCGCACTGTCTTCTATTAAGCTTTAATTGACATTTTTCCCACCCCTGGCTCATGAGAAAGAGACATACACAGATTCATAATTCATACCTTTTCCTGAAGAAGTTTAGCTGAATTTCTGGGTGCTTCCCTCATTCCTCCTTTCGTTTCCTGTGTTACCATGTTCCAGGGAAGGACATGGTTAAAAATCTCAGGATCCTCAAGTGCAAAATTGCTCTGCATAAAAACCTGAACAAGCACAAAATAATACCGGTAATATTTTCAGTCTAACTATAAATTTAGAGAAACTGCAATCTACGATTCATACTGGTAATCATGGTCTACAGGCATTGCACTGTTCCTGAAACAAAATTCAAAAAGGATATTTGCGCAGTTGCAAAATAGTACATATTGTGAGGGTTCAGCCAAAAACAGAGTCATCTAATCCACAGCACAGTAATCCCATAAGGATAAGAAATTGGGCTTCATTTTAAATTTTGGCTTTGTAGGTTGAACCTAAATGTCCCTAATTCAGCCCTAATTCATGAATAATTAGGGTAGGATACCAGGGAAATTGAGATTCAACCTAGATTGAAACTACATGTACCGTAAAATTCTGAAAATAAGCCCCTCCAAATATAAGCCCTGCAAACTCGTAACGCAAAAAACCCTCCGTTAAACCGCCCCTCCAAATATATGTTCCCCGGGGCGCTTGTACTTGCCTTGGAAATTGCCCTCAAATACAGAGTAAAACAAAGCAAAAACGGTAAATTTCCTTGCAACTATAAGGCTAGCCCAATCGATTTTGAAACGCAAATTTCCCTCTGTAGACAAGCCCCTCCAAATATTATAGGCCCCTCCAAAAGGGCCTTTGAAAAATATAAGCCCTGGGGCTTATTTTCGGAATTTTGCGGTATTTCAACCTGAATTTCATTTGACCTACAAAATACACTTAACCAAAACAAAAAATATATGTATCGCAGAAGCTTACGTAAGTCGGCAAGGAGGCCCATAAAATGTCAGAGAATGGTAATCACACAACCTACCTTTGGTATTAAGTTCACATCAGATGCAACTTTGTCAACTGCGAAGTAAAGATAGAAAAAAAATAAGCCAACTGATAGAGTGACTTCAAAAAATAATACTAATGAAATTATCATAAAGAGAAAAAGCACTTATCAAGATAAAATCCTTGGTTGTGATTATCCTAATAACTGTGCAAAAGTCAGTCAGAAAAAGGGAGCAAGGTTATAATAATGGTCTTGACAGACGTTGAAAGAGTGGTATCTAATGTGGCAGTTCAAGCCCCACTTGGGTTAAAGATTGAAAGGGCAATTTTACTTTTTACTTTTGCATTGCAAAATTGTTTCAACAAATTACAGGAAAAATGATAACACTGCCATTGAGGAAATGTGGTTGACTAACAATCCAAGAGTCGAGTTATGAACAGAATTTATAGGGGTAAGAAGCTACCCCAAAATTAATGTTGTACTTGTAACTTTTAAATGGATAGGGGTGATGAAAATTCTAAGAGCACTAACCACTACTTTGTCTTTTGGCAGCGGCAATAGCAGCTGCTGTAAATCCAGTGTCACCTGGCACAGCTGTTGAGCTACCGCCAATAGACTGCTTTCTGAGTTTGTTGTGAACTTTCAGCCTCTGAAAAATGAGCAGATACACAGAAATGAATACAATGTACATACATGTACATGTAGTTCTCACTACATGTTCTGAGATTCCACTTTTACTTAAGCATACTTCAGTACTTTTTCATCGTATGATTTTGTTTTTCAGCATTTTAGAAATTATAATTTGTACATTTTGGTGAACTTTGCATTTGGCCATTTTTGGGAGTGCAAGGGTTACAGTATGTAATCTGAAGTATTTGTAGTCTTTTTGTCAACACAGATCCCTGAAAATTAATCTTGGGAACTTTTTTTGTTTAAAAGTATATTATCCTGAACAGTTTTGTGATTACTGATTACTCTTATAAGGACAGTTATGTGATATGTTTATATAGTAAAAATGAAGTAAATAAAACAACTCACAAACTCAATTTTCTTCAAGTAGTCGTCAAAGTAAATCTTTGGAATGTTAGGAAGCAGTGTGAGTGATGGAACTTCTTGCGGTACAAAATCCTCTCCCCATGTCTTAGTGAAGAAGTCTGTCTGGCGTTTAAGTAGCCGAGGATCATTAAGGATTGCAGGGAGGTTTTGGGTAGATGAATAAACAGTGAACGAGGATGCATTAGGAAAAGAAATCGGAGGCAACCGTGGTCTTGGATAAAGTGTGTCATCTCCAGCAGAAGCCTTACCTTCTGATTTTGCTATAAAATAACACATGTGCATTAGGGATATTGGTAAGGCTAAGCCATTTCCCATTTAATTAATCATTCTCATGACAGTTATCCTTGATCATGCACATGTAAAGATATTGTCAGGAGAAAATCGATGTTGGTCATCCTCACACCCCCAGCCACTCCAGTGCCACTTCCCAAGAGCTTGGCCTTCTCTGAGCTAACATTCACCCCCCGCCCCTACCCCTGGGGAGCAGTCAAACTCATTGTTTATACTAGAAATAGGTTTTTACAGTTTACACTTACTCTCTTCCAGCTTGATGTGATTTTTCTTCACATGTGCTTCGTAATCCTTATCGCTAACACCCTCCACAGGTAGAGAAGGGCAAACGCCATTCCTTCCATAACGACAAACGAACGATCCTCCCTCTTTCGTACAATGCACTTGTCTCAAATGACTACTGAACTCTTTCGGCGTTCTGAAAAATATCTTATCACTGCAAATTACACAGTTTTGCCATGGTTTTGACTCATTTGGATCCAATAATCGTAGCATATTGTATCAGTGAATCCAAATCAATAAATAGTAAGAAATCTGTCGACTTGATCCGGTAGTTTTAATAAATAATATCTCGATGTTGATCCCTTTGATCCGCCGTGATTCATTTTAGTTCTTGACGCTGAATAACGTACAATTTCTCTGCTTCGTCTCAACCCATCTTTTACCTTGTCACAACCAAGTGAAGCGTAAAAGAAATCACTGCGAATTTACATCACTCAAAAAGCCTCCTTTCTCTTCAAAACATCGCCCGACTCGATAATGCTTGGTAACCTCCCAGTTTGTTGAGAGCATACGTCATCTCTGATTACAGTCAGTTGTCGTAGGTGTTCGTTAAAGCTTCGGAAATAATCGTTTTTTAATTAATTTGCTGTGTACAATTGTGCAGAAAGATTTCCTTTTTAAAATCAATTAAAAAAAAAAAACAAAAACAAAAAACAAAACCTCGATTCTCAAAAAAATTTACTCACAGAAGTTTTTAAGTCACGTGATAACATACGTGGACAGTTTGTGTACCCTACACAAAGCTATTTAGCTTCCCGCTTTCGTTCAAATCTTTTCCGCCAAGTTTGCATGCGCAAAAGCTTGAATTTTTTCATCAGAAAGGGAAGAAAAAGTCTTCCACATTAGCTTTTGCGACAGGAATTTGTTTTCTTTTTTGCTGTTTTAATTTTGGGCAAAGGGAAGCAGGCAAAGGTTTCAAAGGAACTAAAATGCAGCGGGAAAGACAACAAGAGCAAGTTGAACACGACGAGTCGATGGAAGAAAATGTGGGACCATTGCCCATCAACAAACTTGAGGTAACACTATTAGATAAAACTAATGTACTGCACCAAAAGAGGGAAGACTATATCTTCTATCTTTTAAGGATAAAAGTTTGAATAGAAAATTAAGGCAGAAGGAAACTGTACTTACTGCGTATCAATTTTTCTTATTCAAGAACCGTGTTGCATAATTAAGCATACTGATAATTAACAAAACATCCAAGGTACTTTCTTGCAGCCAGAGGCAAATAAGAATGTCTGCTCTGTCACCTGGCTGAATGCTCAAACACTGTTGCAAAAAAATGGTTTTCCAATAGTGTTAGAACGTGAAAAGATGATTTATCTTTACTGAATGCTGGATGTGTAGGCAGCAGCAATGGCGATGCTTGAACGAGCAAATTTTTGTATTGATAATTGGGTTGTATATTTACAGCAGCGTCATAAGCCAGGGTTAAAGATTCAGAAGAGCAGTCATGGTTTTAATTATCATGAAAGGCACCCTTGTAAACAAAGCCTTTAACTGCTGGTCTTCTTGAAGGAATAAAAATGGAATGTCTCTCTGCCACACAGTCTCCCTTAGCCATCGCTGGATTCTAACAAGTTTTAGTAATTTCTGCTTTATTTTATTTGACATCAGGAGCATGGAATTAGTGCTACAGATGTAAAAAAGTTACAAGAAGCAGGTTTCCATACCATAGAGTCAGTAGCTTATACCCCGAAAAAAGCCCTGCTCGCTATAAAAGGAATAAGCGAGGCAAAAGCAGATAAAGTGCTCAATGAATCTTTTAAACTTGTACCGATGGGGTTCACTACTGCCACTGAATTCCACACACGACGAAAAGAACTGCTCATGGTTACAACAGGCTCAAAAGAGTTGGATAAACTTATGCAAGGTAAGATGTTTTCATATCTTAGTAAAAGTAATATACATTTAACACTTTTGAAACATCAAAACACAGTACAGGGTGTCTGATACCTTAGTTGAGAAATAGGTTGACAAGCAATGTTATTGAATGAAAATTAGTATACAAGTAGCTTGGGACATCTCATTGCTCCAAGCTGCCAACAATGTGGAAAGTCCCAATAGTTGTAGTTAGTGAGAGCGATGGCAGGTGACTACATTGTACATGTATGCTTGTAAGCTACATAAAATCCACGACCTCCTTTGACAATTATTTTGATAATCATTGTACTGTGCTAGGTATTCTGTTGAAGAAATAATACTTACTGGAGATATGTAAAAGAAACCATCTCCCAGAGAACAGAGCTGTGCTCTAGCATTTCCCAGTGGCCCATCAGAGTGAGATGAAAATTTAAAAAAATTACTGCTTGCCTTTCAGAAAAGCTGTGCTAAAGTTTCCTAGCCCTGGAGCCATGCAGCTGGCCTACCAGTCCCCCTTTTCACTGACATTTAATTTTTCTAGGCAAAGGTTGCTTGCTTGTTGAGCTACTTGAAATAAAAGCCTAGCCTTCAGGACAGGTTGCTCCCTAGCCCTAGGCTATCAGACAGCACTTCCAACATGCTCTGCCCATGCTGACTCTTTTTTTGCCCTTTGTGACAATAAAATTCTTACTTAATAATGTATGGATTTGATCTGCAGGTGGCATTGAAACAGGAAGCATAACAGAAATTTTTGGAGAGTTTCGTACTGGAAAAACACAGCTCTGTCATACTATGGCAGTAACGTGCCAGGTATAACATTTTTAAGGTTAACAGTGACATACATGTACATTTCAGCTGTTACCATGGAAGGAAGGTTGCAATACGCCTTACGATTATTCTAACTAATTGTATGAGCATCTTTGGAAGATTAACAATAACCTTGAACAGAAGCATATATGTTTCTGCCTTTAATAAACATCTTGTGATCGGCTCTAGAAGATAATATACATGTACATGTAATACCTCAGGTAAAGTAGCCTACGTGTAGTCACACCCTCCCCCCGACAAAGGAAAAACAGAGAGATTGAGCATCTTTGTTGGGGGGAGGGTGCGGCTACACGTAGGCTATAGGTATTTGCTATGAGGTGTGGGATATGCTGGTCTGTGATGTCATCTAAAATGTTTTGTTCTTGCCTTGCTTGTATTGAATAGAAAAGTGCATAAAAATGGCACTTTTAGGACTGGCATTTAAGATTATTTTTGAACAGAAACTGAAAAAAAATCCATTTAAATGGCCAGTCACATTGTCGTACTATGTACTGCACGTGATTGTATTCTCGTAATCATAAGCAACCAAATTTTTTTATTATGACAAAGGTTTTCTATTTTGTTTATGAAGGAATGCAGTTATTTAGAAATAATATTTCTTTGAAATATCAGAGGAATATACCTCAATAAGGCAATTAGCAAACAAGAACACATCCTTGTATAATTGCAATATTATTTTGTATTTGATTTTGTAGCTTCCTGTTGAGTATGGTGGAGCAGAGGGTAAATGTATGTATATTGACACGGAAGGAACATTCAGACCTGAGAGACTGGTAGCTGTGGCTGATAGGTAACAATATACAGTAGACTGAAAAATACATCATTCTAAATACACTGTACAGTCAACTCTTGCCTTGTAGACACCCCGCTATAACTGACAACTCAATAAAACAGACAGCAGCTAAATCCCCGGCGAAGAGAAATAATTTATTACAGACCTTCGAATGGAATAAACTCCTGCTATTATGAACTCTCACTGATGAGACCACTATCTTGAGGGTCCCTACAGTGTCGGCAATAAAGGGAGTTGACTGTATGTAGAACTTTATAGTGATTTTACAGTTACTGTATTATTCTTAAATGAAGGATGATCATGGCAGTTATATATGCAACTTTTGCAGTTGCGAAAAGAAAGCCTGAAAAAAAATTCAGGTTTGTACGGGATTCGAACCCTTGACCTCTGTACCGGTGCAGTGCTCTAGGGTTAAGGGTTCGAATCCTGTACAAGCCTGAATTTTTTTCAGGCGTTCTTTTGGCAACTGCAAAAGTTGCATATGTAACTACGATGATCATCCTTCATTTAATTCTTCTCTCTGCAGTTCACATATATGATTTATATACAGCTATTTCGAGAAAGGTTGTCGGATAAAGCGCACGCGACAACCCCGAAAGGTATTGTGGGTGGTTTTGAGTGCACTGTTTTTCAAGGAAATTTGAAAGAAGGGCACGAGAGGCCATGGACATATGTCTGCGAGTGCTAAAGGAAAGCAACAAAAGTAGGTTCGACAGCTGCAGTGTCAGGAACAGTGTATTGAACATATCCCAAATTACCTTTCGGGATTGTCCCGTGCACATTTTTTCCGACAACTTTTCTCGAAATAGATGTATATTCAAAACATGTACTAAATAAAGAACATCCCCTAAACTACAATATCATATAAATCCAGACATGTACAGAGTGTTTGTGCATGCATTGACTTATACATACAACAATGATAATAAATAGTAGGGACTCTGTAATGATTGTTTTTGTCTTACTCACTGTCCGTCAGGTATGGGTTGAGAGGTGAAGAAGTGCTTGACAATGTAGCATATGCCCGAGCCTATAATTCAGACCACCAATCACAGCTATTGCTAACTGCAGCCGCCATGTTGTCCGAGTCAAGGTACTGTACATTATCCGAATGTATTGATCAATATAATAATTTAATAGTACTCGCATAATAACATATTATTACTCTTAATAATAATAATAATAATACAATATTTATAGAGCACTAATTCCCAATGGTCCAAAAGCGCTTTAAATGATAGGTAATAATAACTGTTTTATAATATTGTTGAGTTCCGACTTTCTAAATTGCATTTAAGTGCATAATTTCATAATACAATATATTTAGTGAAATCATAATACATTTGTACAAGATCAATAAAAGGGTAATATTTAAATATAATAATTAAAATGTAGTCGTAATTATAATGTCTTCTCATGTATATATGAATAAAAATGTCACTATTTGTAAGATTATAGTTATTATTAAGTTTTAATACACTATTGGCATTATTGTAATGTAATTTAAAAAAAAAAATGGTGTAAACCAGGTGCCAACAAAAAGCCTGAATTGTATCAATCACAGTAACTCACTAAAATTAATGACAAGTTAGGGATACAGTTACAGGGGATTATCTGACCTAGTCCTATCCAACAGGTTTTGGCAGTGGCTGTGTTAACCACTATATATATGATATTGTTCCATCTTGTCAGATATGCTCTCTTGATAGTGGACAGTGCAACAGCATTATATCGCACAGACTACTCAGGAAGAGGAGAACTCTCAGCTCGTCAGATGCACCTTGCACGGTTTTTGAGGACCCTTCTTAAACTTGCAGATGAGGTAAGAAGCGGTAAAGACTTGGCTGATAAAATACAATACGTTAATCTTAAATCTTAAATGCAATCTGATTTGGGTGAATACCTGCATGTATGCTTACTAAAATACATTATGTACCTGTTAGCTGTACATTGTATTCATTTCCTCTTCCATCGTCAAATAATTTCCAATGCAGCTTGTTCAGTTTATGCTACAGGGTATAATCATCTCATGCACAGTTATGACAGTGGGTCATTACATGATCTTAGACCAACTAGAACATGCAGGTTGCCTTTAATAATCGCCCGCATAATATCCAAAAAAAATTTCATGGACTAAAGAACATAAACTAAAAATTCACTTTTTGGTCAGTTTGGTGTTGCTGTAGTTATAACAAACCAAGTGGTAGCTCAGGTGGATGGAGCATCTATGTTTCAAGCAGATCCTAAAAAGCCAATTGGTGGCAACATTATGGCTCATGCCTCTACAACAAGGTAAGCATATTGCACATGTATGATGTACACGTACAGTTTCAACCAGTATAAGGTACCCTGTGATCATTAATTACAGTATTTGATACCTCCCATGGAGAATTTGTCACAGCCACCTCAGGGCTGTCATTAAATTTAAAAAGGAAGTAGTTGGTCATTCATCTAACAAATCCTCCTATATTTGACTTATTTTCAAACTTAGAGTTGCCGGCTGATTTCACTGAAGTAGCCAGCTAAAAAAGCCAGCTGCCGGCTAGTAATGACAGCCCTAAACAGCATACTTGTTCTATTATAGTCTTGACAAAGTTTTGGAAGCAAAATGCCTTTTTTTGGTTTCAAAAGGATAAAAATACAAACTTGTATATTGATGGCACAAAAACAAATGGAAATAAGGAGAAACATTGGATAATGATATTTATAAAATAAAGAAGGAATTATTTTTATAGTTACAAAAATAATTGTAACAGAATTTACAGTGCTACTCTACATATATATTCTGTTCATGCTTTTATTTCCCAGATGATCAAAGACAACAACAAATCATTCAAAAAGACTCTTAATTTGTAATGTATTGTTTGCAGGTTGTACTTACGTAAAGGAAGAGGAGAAACAAGAATCTGCAAGATCTATGATTCGCCGTGCCTCCCAGAAGCAGAGGCCATGTTTGCAATAAATGCCGATGGAGTGGGTGACGCAAAGGATTAAATACATCAGAGAGCAAATGAAACTATAAATAATTTACTACAACTGAAAGTGAACATACATGTATTGTACTTTAGATGAATTATAAGGAAACAAGAATGCCAAGGTTGCCTTTTGTTTGGATTTTTGCCTGTTAACAAGTTTTGTGTAGCATCGGCCGCCCATTATACACTTTTCCAGCTGAAGGCTAACTTTAGTAGGATGTATGTTAAGGCTTAGCAAAAGAAACAGTGTTAAAAATTGTATTGAAAGTGCACAGGGCAGGATGACACTGTACACTCTCTTTCCTTGAGTAAGAGCCCATGCTCTCTAATAAGTGCCTTCCACTGGATAAACCCCACCCACTCGCCAATACGAACTGATAAGCACCCCAGAGTACAGTAAAGTTCCGAAAGTAACAACCCTCATTGCTTTTGTATTTTGTATTTTGTATTTTTTTCGCAAAAAGGGAAATTAGTTTTGAGGTCTCTACTTTCGGAGGGTAATTATTTTCTGGGGGATTGCTACTTTTGGGATTTGTGAATGCCTGTGACATTTTATCACTACTTTCGGAAGTTCCCTACTTTTAAGGGGTCGTTACTTCTGGAACTTTATGGTACATTAATAGAAGAACAAGGTTGATGACTAAACTGAATTAACTATTCTTTGTATTCATACTGCTTGTTTGTTTTGCCAAAAATGAACATAAGTAATCATGTCCATAAATAGATGGTTCATGTAGAGTATAATTTTGCAAACTGGTAATCAATATCAATGTGTACGTCAAGATGGAAAGATATACAGGCCTATAAAATGAAATTTGGTGAAAAGCAGTTAAATTTTTTGTAATATTAGATTTCATAGAAAGCCATAATACATTGACTGTAATTTTCATGATTGTTTATTGTACATGTTTTCATGCTAGTCATATTTTATTAGTTACAGCATCAGACAGGTCAACACTTAACCGCTGGTGAAATAAAAATGTATTTTCGTGATAACTTTAGTGCCATACAAATTTTATTTTGTGATTTAAGTAGGTACTACAACGTAGCTTTGACTGCTTAACAATAAGATTGTCCTTTAACTCCCTAACAGAAGAACCCGTCATGAAACAGGATTTTCATCGTCCACCAATGGTGAAAATTCCTTTCGTTTGCCAGGTCTGTGGTACTGGACTACCCTAAAAATTGATTTAAAAAAATAAAATCACTGACCAAAAAACAGACCACATCGAACATAAAATTAGTATGTGTAATCAAATGGTGACGAGTGAAATTAGGGAATAATTTTACATGCGTCCTAATTGTTTGGATTTGGACAAAATGCAAGTGAAATTGTTCCCTAATTTCACAAGTATGCCGTTTGATTACCTATTAATATCATGTGGATTTTTGACATGTTTATCCCGGATCATATCAATCGAAAACTCCACTCTTTCGAACGTTTAGAACTTAAATTTGGCTTAAGTTCAGAATTTTTTGACAAAATACCTGTTACAATCCTTCTTGATATGCTCTTTCGTGTTTTCAGGTTTTCTAAAGCGTCTTTTTACGCCCTGGCATCTTCATTTATGACATTTTAAAACTTAGTCGCCATCTTGACACTGAGACGTACAGAAAGTTGCCATGATGGCAATTTTGTAATTTCACATGTGAAATTACAAATTATCGCTGAAATTCCGCGCCAAAATTAAGGAGTAATTCATCACATATGATATTACGATCAAAATTCTCTTCACCTATATTATCAGACCTTCAGGGGTTTCAATAAAAATTGAAGTAGCCAGCAGGTCTGAAAAGAGTATCACTATCTGACTGTATCAACAAGGGAATGTTAGTCCCCATTTTCTAGGGGGTCTGGGGGTGTGCTTCCAGAGAATATTTTGAAATTTCAAAGCCCTAAAATGCGATTTCCACCATTTTTCTAAAGCATAGCATAAAACCGGTTCATTCAGATTAGTTTTATGATCCTTTTTTATTTACGACGTTATTCAAACTAGTTGCTTCTCAGTTCTTTCTAGAAAAAGTAGCCTACTTCTTTGAGCAAAGTAACTGACTTGTTTCGTTGGCTGTCCATACGTATTGAAAGCCCTAGACCTTACTCCAACATAACTGTACCTACCCAATAAGAACCACGGGTATCAGCAGAAGACCAGCACTAATGAAGAAGGTTATTCCAGCAACAAATTCTCCAGTTAGTTCTGTCACAGTCCATGTGTACAAAGGGTTGAAGATCAACTGACTGCTAAAGTTACACAGACTCTCTAGAGATGCAAGAATAGCGAAAAGGGCACCTGAAAAAGAGATGGTAAAAAAGTTTTCAGATTTAAACAAATTATAAAATTGAATTATTATATGTACTAATCCTGGCGTATCTGCCAAAAGAACATTGAGTTGTCATAGCAACTTAACCTAGCATAGCAGTAGTGTTCTTCAAAGAACTCGGCCTAGATTGAAAACAAGCTATTTCATCCAGACCCAAATTTTCACCCAATCCCAATATCCTGATATGAGGACCTCCCTGAAAACCACATGTGACGGAAGCTTCCTCCATAAAGGTTATGATTATTTTTTTCAGTATTCCGCACCCCATGCATGTGAAGGGCTGTGATAAAGAGGCAGAGGTCGGGGTTTTCCCCGGCTACTATAAATGTGGCCCATAGCTACTGTCGAAGGAAAATAGAAGAAAAATACAATCAAAAGAAATCCCTAGCTGTCTGATTCCCCACCTACTTGTTGTATTTACCCGGAAATCTTAACTGACATCCCTGGGGCATATGTTCAATCCTGAGTCTCATCCTAATTTTGCTTTGCAATCCTGAATCCCTGTCCTCAAATAAGGCAAATCTTACATTCCAAAAAACCTAACAGCCTGAACCAATAAACACACAAATTTTAATAAAAATAATTATATGAGCAATTCTGTTGGTGTCCCCGTTAAGGAAATTCAACCAAAACTGCATGGTCAGTCAAGAAAGCAAATAATAAATCGCAGACTTTAGTCGAAGTTAACTTAGCCTGATACCTTGCTCTTCCTTGTTCACTAGTCTGGACATTTCAGCTCTGATACAGGGCTGTGGAACTCCAGTAAAGAATGCGAGGACATTGGCTGCAATGTCAAAAGACGTTACAGTAATCAATTATAAATTAATCATCCATTTATACTCAACTGTTTTTTATACAAAAGAAATCTTTACCCACTAGAACAAAAATACACCATTTTTTTCTTTGACTTAATCCTTGTTGGGACCATGCAATGTACTTTAATTCAGTTTTCAATTTATCAAGAGAAGCTTTAACTTTAATTTTAACTAGTTATTTACAAATATTGAAAAATGAAAAAAAAAAGATCACCAGCCATGATGGAATAAAAATAAAAAAACTTAATAATAAGAAAAATTATTAGGTACAAGAAAGACAAACTCATAAGATTAAACAAATCAAACTTACATAAAAACATTTCCAATGTGGTTCTAGAAAGTCCAATCATCAACAAGTTACCCATAAGGAAGAAAACTCCCAGTTGTATAGCACCAAAATTGCTGATTCCTAATCGAGAACAAAGTGAGATTCCTACCACGGCTCCAATAGCCTTTGAGAAAAGCCATGTTCCAAGAAAGTACCCAATAATAGATGACTCCCAGCAAAGAGGAGCCCTTTTACCATACAGAACTAACAATGTTTGTATCACAAATGAGGCTAAGAACACAAGAACTGTGCAAATCAAAAGAACAAATAAAACCCAACGTCCAAGTCTCTTCTTGAAGTAAACCAGTACAATATTCTTGACGCTACTAACAGAGAAGACCGCAGAGTTCTTTTTCAGTTCTGGAGGTAATGATTCAGGCAGGAAAATAACCACATAAACAAGGTTAAGTAGATGTACTGTCAGTATTACTAAATACACAGATTCATAGCCATAGTTCTTGATCCATACTCCACTGCTAAAATACACCACTGTTCCGCAAACAAAAGCAATGGCTTCTAGAATACCAAGCCTCATTGCTCTGGAGTCTGGCTGAGATGTGTCGGCCACATATGCTAAGATGGCTAGGACCATGGTAGGGTAATATCCACCGAGTCCTGCCAAGCTACTTGCTGCAAGATGGAATGATATGCATTGATAGGATTACAATAAGGGCGTAATAATTTTGATTTTGATTTTCAGCTTTCTGGGACAAAGAGATGCCAACCAAATTAAAGGTCCATGTGAGATCCCTGCCCCACTCATCCATGATTGCTGTTCAACAATGGGGGATTCCCCTGAAGAGTGAGATGGGTTTATACATACGCCTTACAGGGGGGCTGCTGAGGGTTTGAAACACTAGACTGATCCTTCCATTAATCTAAGGAAAGATTACAAAACTTAAAATTCCTATGACTACGTATGATTTATGTTATCAAACTTTGCTTTATAGAACAATGGACAAAATACAATGGTCTGTCTCAGGTCAGACAGGTTGAACAACCTTACACTGTACACTATCTCTTCGCAGGTCCACTTAAAGTTCCCTCTTCCTCAGGGGGATTCCCCTTACTCTTTAATTGAATAAGGCGGGGGGGTCTTTAAAGATCCTTTACCATTAATGGATACTAGGAGATTAGGACCATAAGAATGGACTTAGAACAAGACTAGCATGATCTAACCAGATGGATCCTTTTTAAAACCAAGATTATTGATCTGGGGAGGATTTGAAATTATGATCGACTTCTTGTTATGTAGTTAAGGCACTTTTTATAAAACCAATTTGACATTGCAAGTTTGATTAAAAAGAAAATTATGTAAAAATTTTCTCTTATTTTGACAGTGATGAAAGTCAATTTTAGCAACATTGATTTTTGGCTTTATTAAAAATTGTAAATGAGAAAGATCAGTGTGGGAAGATTTTGCACCAAGACATTACTTACCAATCATGAAAACATAAATAGGAAGATTCCAATAAATGGCAATTAGAAAAGTCAATGAAGCCAGTGAACTTCCAATAGATGTTACAATCATGGGTCCTTTGCGTCCTTTCTCGTCAGACCAAGTGCCAAGAAAACAGGCTGTTAACATGGCTGGAACAGTCAAAGCTATGTTCACTAAAAGAATGTACTGGGAAGCTCTCTTCTGTACCATTTCATCTGTACTGCAAAAGAATTTAAATTTTGGTAATCTGTTTAATCACTCAGTTCTTCCTTGTAAAATAGCCCAACAAAATTCATACTGTGGTTGACAAGTTGTATTTAAAAGTAAGATGACGTGATGATCTGCTCATTTATCAATGCCCTTTTGAAGAAACTGGCAGGGCCTCATTAGACAATGAAGGGGTCATAAAAAACAACAACAGAAACACTCAAAAATCACTCATCTATTAAATTATATTACTTATTAATCAAAACTGTTCACTGCAGGAATCATTTGATCCCAAAATTAGTTTGAAATTGATGTATACAAATCACCCTATCTGGTGCACTGCAGTGTTGGGAGCATCGATTGAACGCTTTTCACGTTCAAACAGAAAAGGTCTGTTACAGTACACAGTTGATAATGAAGTGTATGCATTAGCAAGGTTGGCTTTCTATGAGAATCTCTTGATTGGGTAAGAAATAAGTGTCAGTTGTCTGCATTAACAGATGTCCATAATTAAGCAGGTTGAAAGGGCTTTCTTCAGGGACCAATCAAACTGTCCATAATAGTGTGGTGTCCATATTAAGCAGGTGTCTGTAAAGCGGTGTTCGACTGTACAATCAAATCATTCTGAAAAAATGACAGTATTTACCTGTATTCTGAGCTGTTCTTGTAATATGGATTGCAGACAGTATCATTTCCCTCTGTCTCATTTATTTTCAGTTCTTGTCTGGCTTTATAATATAGATACTGTTGAATGACTGGTATTTCTAGTAATATACCAGTGATGTAGAGAAATATGACAACTTCCACAGTCAGCAGTCTGTGAGGATTTTTTCTCCATGAAGTTGTAGATTGCTGATGACTCTGTCGCAAGCTGACTGGGTCTTCCATTTATAACTGTGCAGATATAAGCACATGCGACACTGCACAAGCACTGTGTTATTGAAAACACTCTCTCGTTCCCTCTACCTTTTACTTCAGATCACAATCATTTCCAGGTTTTTCTTAAATATGACCTGTTTCTATTACTTCTGATAAGAGAAACACAAAATTACTATAATTCATTAATTAATACTACACTGTAGCTTCCTACTTCACAGTGTTCAACTCATTTAATTTTTTACCCCACGCAAGGGAATCCGGGAAATTTTTGCTTCTGGATTCTGTAATCCCAGGATATTTTGCTTATGGAATCCAGAATCCTGAGTATTGGAATCCAGAAATATACAGCTCAAGGAATCTGGAATCCCACTAACAATTGGAATCCATGGCCAGAAACCAAGTTCCACTGATAAATACTGGAATCCAGTACCTGGAATATGGATTCAAAACTGGCTTGGATTCCCTTTTATCGGGCAATAATTTACCTTGCAGGAAATTTGAAAGTATTTTTGACTGTCGGGGTTAGAGATTGATCAGGGTAAGATGAAAATTTAGAAAATAATTTGCCTAAAGCAATCAAGCAGGCCTACTAATCAATAGGCATCCTGGACTATCGGAGGACAATTTTGTTGCACCCTTCTGAGGTGAGTGCTTTACCGATAAAAATATACATGCACTTGCTGTGGAGGCATCGTGGCTGAGCAAGTATTCACCTTGAACTTCAGATCATTTACTTTAAAATTTTTTTTTTTAAAGCAGACACCTTTTGAAGCTAGTAACAGGGTGTTGGTATACACTACCTCACACATTGGGGTACCTCACCTGTAGATCTAGGAGTACCTCATATTTAGCTTAGAGGTGCAGGGAAGGCGGATAGAATGAAGTCAATACCCTACCTACCCTATTAATCCCAACCCCCAGGGGGGGAACTCCCACATAAAAGTGACGGGGATGCTTGTCAGGTATTCAGGTATCGCTTAGCTAGTACTGTACATAAAAAAAGCCCTGACACTCACAGGAAAAAATAACGGATTCCCATTTTTGGATATTTTAGGGTATTTAAAGAATACCCATAAAAATCCCAAATTTGGCAAAGTGAGACAAGTCCCAACCAGGGAATTCCCAACCAAGTTCCCTGATTGGGACTTGTCTCACTCTTCCAAATTTGGGATTTTTGTGGGTATTCTTTAAATACCCTAAAATATTCAAAAATGGGAATCCGTTATTTTTTCCTGTGACTGATGACACACAGAAATCTCCTTTAGTTTAAGCTTGAGCCACACCCACATTGGTCTCCCTTGAGGGTTTAATTTGAATTTTCCGACCAGCATACCCGTCACTTTCATATGGGAGACCCCCCCCTCCGGTCCCAACCCCTATCCCCTTAATTGCCCCCTCTATCAGCCTCAGGTATGTTACCAGTATAGACAACCTGCAAGCTTGAAGACTGTATTGCATGAAGTCAGCCCTGAAAGCCTTTGGCATGCAATTAGGCATCCTTAATAGTCTAGGTATCTTCAATAGCGTTGGTATTTAGATCCGGTTGATACGCCCCCTGCACTGCGGGATTCTTTAAACGAAGTTTCAAGAAATGAAAGATAAAACTATGCCACTGGATGTGCACATTTTGATTTGCTTGCTACTTTCTGCAAAAATAAAATAGATCGGCTGCCAATCATACTAATTTTCTCACCTCTAGTAGAAGTTAAGCAAAGTCAGATCTCATCGAGCTGCAAGCTCCATTTCGGTTTCGTCTTAACTCTAGTATTGGGTACGTAAGAATGCAGCTTACATAAAGGCAAATGATACTAAAACTAGTTCCCAGTCACGTGCGAGTCAAATGATACACAAATCACAGCAACATGGCGGACATGCCTGCTCTCATCTATCTCTTTTTTTGCATCACGTTTAAGTGGCGCGACATTGTAAATCATCTGTGTGAAGCCCAGTAGCCGTGATGAATGACCAGGCCTTAGTTACCCACCCGTTTGATCGCGAAGAGGAAGTATCTTTGGAACAACTATTTACGTCATTCTGTAACCATTTGAGTCTTGGTCAGTGGGAATTGACGCGAGTCTGTCTGCGGGGCTTATTCGAGAAGAGGAACCAGCTAAAAAAGCCGTTAAAAGAGATTTTGAGAGCGGTTATTGATCAGCCGCATCATGCAAGGTAACCGGCTTTATACTACTACATGAGAAATTTCTGCAATCTGATTGGCTTAGAGCAGTGGTATTTCAGCTTAATTTGAAATACCTACATGTCAAAATTACAGACCTTTTGCGGGTAGTAGTATAAACAAATAATAGCATGATTTGTACATGATATTTGGCATAAATACCATGCGTAATGTTTCAAAATTGTCTCAAATTTCACTCGCCTAACTGCTCGTGAAATTATGTATAACAATTTTGAAATATCACTCGTGGCATTTATGCCAAATGTCACTACAAATCATGCTATGACCTATACTAATTTTACATGTACACACGACAAGCTACATTATTATTTGAAACCCATACACCCTTGTTCCGTCCCTGAGTCATTCCATCTGATATCCCACCCTCCCTCTCCCATTTGTCGAGATTTTGTGAGAAGGTATATGGCAAAATTTAATTTATGAAAGTTGGAACACTGAAGACAAGATTTCTGATAAATGGAGCAGCAAAGATTATTGGACACAAGTGCTACAGGGAATAAAAATGTGAGACAATTCCCCCGCCCCTTAAGACAAGTATACATCGCAATGTAATATACCATAAGAGTCCAACACTTACCGTCTGAAGATTGGGGGCTAATAGCTGAATAAAAGTCTGGCGAGTTGTCTGGAGGACAAATTGTCCAGTTACCACTGCAGATCATCTATGCATGATTGCCTTAAGAACACTTTTGCATTTTTCTGAGAAAAAGCATTTTCAGTGGGCCCTTTTGTTCTTTTTTCTTAAGGGGGGACATGTCAAAGTACCTCAATCAATGAGTCAATGGGGGTGTGAAAGGGGTTGGGTATGTTACAGGTCAAAATTAAATTCAGGTTAAAATTGTTTTTTTATCCTAGGTTGATTTCCTTTGTCTTATAGCCCAAATAATTCATGAATTAGGGCTAGGAGACAAAGGAAACTGAGAATCAACCTAGGGTAAAAAAAGAATAACCTGAATTTAATTTTGACCAATAACAGGGATGCTAAAATTGAATGGCCCTACCCAACCCGATCCTTGGGTTGAAGACTTGCATGGTAGGTAAGGACAAGTGGCTGTGTGGTAATTCGTGGGACTAGTGATTCAGAGCTGCTGCCTCAACCCCCACCCTCACCACTATATCTCACTACTAGCCTGTCAACTGCCTGCCATGTATAATAAAATTCTCATAGGACGAGAGTCAGTTTTGAAAAAAAGAAATGTTTATTTTGATGTACAATGCTGTGAATTATTAATTGCAGTTGTGGCTCCAAGTCTGTTCCTTCTCCTTTTCATTTATCATGGCTATGTTTAGTGGAGTATTTGGATTTGTTTGTTGATGAGGAGGTGAGTAAATTATTTAATGACATTCTTTTCTGTTCTTATACAACGATGTACCGAGTAAACTGAAGGTGTCTGTAAGATGAGGTTTGACTATTTTGACTTTTTACAGGATCAAATTCCAGAACAAGTTGTGAAAAAAGTAGAATTTGGCCTTCTACTTTATCTTGCTTGTCAGAATGCTCCCCAGAATGTGATTCAGGTGAGGTACAGAGAGTTAACCCTGTAATCCCCAGGATCCACATAAGAATTCTCTGGACTGATCTCCATACATTTCTTTTACAAATAGTTGAGAGAATTTGGTTTAAGATCAAAGATTTCTCCCTTTGGTAATCAATTTAGTAATGCTCATAACCTTTACTCTTGATGATCTTCCGATGTTGTCAGGAGAAAATTGATGTTGGTCACTCTTGGTTAAAGGGTTAAACTGCTATATTCTCCTTCCAATTTTACTTGTGTTTGCTTTTTAATCAAAGGGGAAATTTAGTACCAAATCAGGAGTCACATGTACTGGTGACTTGCTCTTACTGCTACGGTATAGTTACATACAGTGGCTTAACACATGTATGTTCCTAGTACCATGAAAAATCATTTATTCTATTTATGGATTACCAAAAATGGTTTACATTCTATGTTAACCGTGATGTTGAAGACTGATGTCCATGCTAAAAATTTGGGAAAAGCTGGATTGATCCAGAAAAATCTATAGAAGGTACTGAAAGTCAGAGTTAATAAGATGCTGAGACTACATTTTTATTCTTAATCCTTTAACTACAGGATATAGATGATTACCACAGTCAGATTGTATACAGAGACCCTGATCTGTTTGCTTCTGGAGTATCGGATCTTCCTTCCTCCACACTTTCCTACTTGAAACAACTTCTCTGTGATAATCCACAGTTTGGTCAAGCAGTGATCAATGACCTTACCTCCAAAGGAAAAGGTTTTTTGAAGAACAATCAGTTGTTACAGCAGCTCTATTTAGATCTCATTAAGGAGCAGTTAAAGTTGCTGGATGGTGATGATGTGGAGTTTGCCTCATATGATAGAGAAGAAAGCACGCAAGATTCGAAATCAAAACAGTGTAAATTTATTTATCAAATGCTTTCATACATGAACCCCAGCTCAGAAATGGTCAGCTTGTCTACACAACTCGATGAACTGTTCCGGAATCTGATAAACCACACATTCAGTGATCACAGTTGTCTTGACAAGGGAACCTTGTACTCATGTCTCCTCAGCCAGCCATCAACTTATTTGATTGAAAAGTTCTGTAGAATTGAAAATCAAATAAGATTCTCAGTTGAGGGCCTTCCTGAAGTCCATCTGTCCAGGTTTGCCATGCAAGGATTCAAGCAACAGAGCATTTCTCTGGTGTGTTTTTTATGTTATGCTCAGTCCTTTATGAAGAACAGGAAAGATGCTTGGCAGTACCTGTACTTTCACGCACTGGAAGGATACCATGTTTTGGAAAATGTAGTGGTGAGACTAAATGTTATCGCGATAATTGTTTTAAAAGTGACTGTATAATTATTGCTCTTTCGTGGAGTACCTTCTCAATCTGTTGAAGTTATGAAGATACGTATAAGCCCGTAGTGAACTTGCATCTCATTCTCTAGAAAGATGAATAGCCTTTGACGATAGAAAGGGACATATTTCTTTTGATAGACAGCAGGGGACTAATTTTAATTTGACCACATCTAAGGAAACCACTTTAAAAATTTTAGGACAGTCATTTCCCCATAACTCTCAATAATACTTATTGCTCCTGTTGCTTTCCAACTTAAAGTGATTCTCTAAAGCACATAACTTCTTTACATTTTCTACATTATAGGGATGACCCTCCGTTGAACTCTTATCCTTTTCCATTAGAGGGCAAATGCTCTAAGACAGACTTCTATCATAGGGTATGCCCCCATAGTTAAAGCACACCGTGTGGAAGAAAAGACAAGCAGAGTATAGTGTGTTACTGATTTTTCAGGGAACAACCCATTATGAATGGCTATCCCATTCTGCGGGAGAAGAGACACACTTTTGATTGTCTACCCTGTGGAAAGAGAGATACCCTTTTGGTGGACTGTTATCCTATCCCATTCAATCCCATCCCATTTCATTCCATCCCATCTCATCCCATCCCATCCCATCCCATCCCATCCTATTCCATCCTAGGGGTTTAAGCTTGTAATGTAAACCTGTTTTTTTGGGGGAAGGGAGAATGCCTATTAGACTGGCATCCAAATCCTTTGGGATAACACTCCAATGGATTGGCTGACCCATCCAGGGAGAAAACCCATACTTGTAGGTGCCTCATTCTATTTAACCTTCACAAACCTTCAGCAAGGCCTAGACCTGCATCGGTCTGCTAAATATAGTATATCTAAATGACTGTGTTTGATTCTCAGGAAACAGCCCTTGTATTTGTTAAGGAAGGTGACTTTGAACAGCTCACACAATTGCTTTCACCAGTGGAATTTTCCAGGCTTAAGCCACTGGTTCTTCTCTTGGGCTGGCCTTACTGCTACAGCTGTGAAAATGCCAGGAATCTACTTGAGGCTTTATGGAATCCTTCTGTAAGCTTTAATTAGTATTATTTTTTGTCTTTTTCAAGATCGGTTTTGAGCCAAACAAGAACACAGCTTAAAATTCTAGTCAGTTGCTACTTAGTTCTTTAAAGAAAATTTATTGTAAATTTTGTTGTTTTTTTTGTGTGTTTATAGGAAAGGGCAGCTCATCCTTTACTGTACCAGGCTTGCCAAAAACTAGCTTATCAAGTTCAACTTGTTCAGTGGTGTACTGAAAAGGCACGGTAAGGCTATGTTTAGATTATCCCTTTAAGCCCCAATATCTACATACAAATTCTCCAAACTTGTCTTTATACATTTCCTTAAGGAATAAGTTAAGAGAATTTGGTAGAAGATCAAAGCATTTTCTCTTAGGTGATCATTTTATCAACTCTCATAACTATTTCTCTTGGTAACATATGGATATTGTTCGGAGAAAATTGATCTTGGTCACTATCGGGACTTAAAGGGTTATATCAGAGAGCTTTTGCGACGGTATGAAAACCATACCCGGAATACGGCTTCTGTTCGCACATGAGAACGGTAATTTCGGCGCGATTTCTGTAACAGATGGAAGCTGTGCCGCGTCGATCTCCAAAGTGGAGCGTCACAAATGGGATAGATTTTGTGCCACTCTTTGTAGCAGTGTAAACAGGTATCAGTCAGATTGTAGCAGAAGTGAATAAGTAGGAGGGAGCACTGGAATCCACATAGACTTGCTACAAGTTGACCTCTCATGAAAAAAGTGATCGAAGCGAGCTTCAATGCACAAGGTCGCGCTGTGACCGAGCGAGCGCCGAAGTCTCTAGGTCGGCTTGTTTCGCCTGAATGGATTTGAATGATATTATAAATTTACGCGGGAAAAAATGATTGACATATGCTGTGTCGGGAGCGGCGTGAAATATCGCTCACTGTCCTATTGCTCAATTGTCATGACTTCACCGGTAGAATTTTCGACCAGTGAATTTTGCGTCAAACAGGTATGAAAAGTCCTTTAAAATGGCATAAACAACCAGGAAAATACAAGACTTTTAGAAAGTCTAGAAACCACTAAGATGGAAGTAATATTTAGGAGTGAGGACTGGGATTTAGTAGTTAAAGAGAACTCCGTTTTGCCTTGTAATGGAGCCTCATACTCAAAGAAAATTGTCGAGGAGAAAATGTATGGTTGTAACATGGTTATTGGCCCATATGTCCAGACACTTGCGTGTGTGAGGAGGAGGAGGGGGGTGTACAACATTTTTATTGGCAGGAAATTGCATGCCCAGCTTCGCTTTTCAAAAACTCGTCTTGGGAGTACTCGGATGTTTTCTTCTGAACCGCCGGAGTCACTGACTGACAAGGCTGTGCTCTAAGGAAAATTCAGGGAGCCCTTTGGGCTCCCTTGCATTTTAACTAAGGCGCCCAGACCTCAAAGCTGGTCGCCCGAATAAAAATTTCGGGTTTACGTAAACTTTATTAAGATGTTTGGGTCAAACATAGGAAAACTGTGCTTTTTTGCCAGTAATATTAAACTTGAAAATAAATTTTCGAAAGGTGAATCAATGCGGCACGAAATATAAAGTGACGGAGTTTACACGGCAGATCGAACTCAATTCCCGTGAAAAATTCTGCGAAACAGTGAAACCGCAGCCCCAAACCTATTGTTTTGATAAAAAATAAGTCATCTTTAATTTTCTTTTCTGTATTATCAGTGAATCTTTTAGGATAATTGAGCTTTTCGTGGATACGGTCGAAGCGTAAACCAGCTCTTCTTTCCTTGTTTTTAATTTTTTTTTTTTGGCCACTAAATTTAGCATATGCATGCGTGCGAATTTAGTTTTCACTGTACGTAAAATTCCAAGACAACGCGTTCGTGGAACTGCCCTGTTTCTAAAACAACAGTAAAAACGATCAGAACGATCGTATCTTTTCTTTTGATATTTCGTTACCTTATGTAAAGGGAAGAAACAATCTTAAGTTATGTTTTAAGCAGACCCTATACGGTAGCACGAAGCACCCAGATCTCGAAAACGAAGCACCCAAATCTCGAAAACGAAGCACCCAGATCTCAAAAACGAAGCACCCAAAACTCGAAAACGAGGCACCCAAATCTCGAAACCTGTCTGCCCTTTAAAAACACGAGACAGTCCCTTGTCAAGTCGCCAGTGGTAATACAGCAGAAACCAAGTGCGATAACGAATAGAATGCAGTTCAAAACTATTCAAGTAGAACTGCGAGGTGTTGCAAATACATTTCCGCACCCTGAATAAATTTTAAAAAGTGACGATTTCCTGTTTTGGACGTGATCAAAGTGTATTACAATGGCTGCCGTTTTCACTAGGCCAAATTACTATAGCTGAACATTCGTTCTAGGTTTTTCTTTACAAAACTAGGTAAACGTTACATCTGTGTCACAGGACTAATCTCCCCGATTTTAAAGATATATGGAAAGTTAATAAAAGTTCGATAAATATCCGTTCAATAGGCCTTTAAGGTTCTAGAACATTCTAAGTGTTTACCTTTAAAAATGCAACATGATGTAAAACCAATTTACTAATAAGTTTTCTCATGCAGAAACGTAAATATTAACATAGTGCTTTTTAAGAGTGAGACATCTTGTCTCCAAACATGATGTCCCTCCACAGGCGGCCCAAACTCACTTTACGAGGGAAGGGTGTAATGTAATTTACATAACATAGGTGACGCGCCGGTGTCGCGTTACAGGCGACCGTTGAAAATATAAGAGACTTTGTATGAGAAATATATTACTGAGATCTGCGAACGCTAAATAACGCTAAACCTTACTTTTTCTTAAATGAAATGAATACAAAAGACTTACCTGAAATGTATTCCACTGCGTTTCGGTGTCTGTTTGTCGTTTTACTGATTTTTTAGGCTTAATTGCGTAACCGCTGTTACTCCTTTCATAGAACGTTCGTTCTAAGAAAGGAGTAACAGTGGTTACGCAATAAAGCCAAAAACACCACCCACCTGCTTCCCTCGTAAAGTGAGTTTGGGCCACCTGTGGTCCCTCGGAACACATTTAATGAAACGGACACAGTAGTAATTTAACTTAGGAAACGCATTAGCTTCTAGTTATGTTGACACTAGCTTTTAAGAGTAGGAAGCTTAGGTAAACATATTAGCCATGCAAGCAAATAAATAGCCAGCTGCTAAGGAATAGGTTCGTTAAGCACTTATAGATAGAGAAAGAGAAGAACATCAAGAAGAATGTAGAACCGCCTTGCATGTAAGTAGAATAAACCTTGTAAGTTTAACTGGCTGATTTTGGTGGAGTTCCTCTCCTTCTCGCCGACCCCATCAGTAAACCGACACTAAAAGGCATCGTTTACCAGTGGAGAAGCCTTCTTTATCAGTAGCACACAAAAATAACCTTCATCAGAGGTGAACTGAGCTACGTTCAGCTGAGTGCTGAAAAAGTCAGTTTATCATCTGTTTTCACTGTGAAATTTTACCCGGATATTTCAGCCCGTGACCAAGCGATTCGAATTGCAATGGCGCGCAACTTTCGAAAAAGACGGAAGAGGAAGCGCTTTTTTGGTTCCCGGGCTATTGCCCGAGAACAAATTCTGCGTGGATCTGATCTGTGTATCACGCGGTGTCATAGATAACCAATATGTCGTCATGAACATGTATGTCTACCGAAAAAATATATATTAAAATAAGATGTGTCAGGTATCGCAAGACTGTACAGTACTTCCTATCTAGAAACGTTCAGAATCAGGTTCAGAATAAACAGTTGGCAGGCTTAAAATAAAACCCTGGGATGGATTTATGGACCTTTGAAGGTGCGGACGCATGCGTTGCCTCCACCTGGTTGGCTTGTTAAAGTTGTAGTTCTTCACCCTACAGTGGTTTCGAGTTTTGAGTGCTTCGTTTTTGAGTCTTGGGTGCTTTGTTTTCGAGATTCGGGTCCTTCGTTTTCGAGTTTTGGGTGCTTCGTGCTTCGGTCTTCGTTTTCGAGGGCTTCGTTTTCGAAACTACCCTACACAACAGCCAAAAACCGCAAAAGTATTAAATTTGCATACTGGTCAATACAGCAACTTTCGTTTTATGCAAAAATAAATAATAATAATAATAATAATAATAATAATTCCGTTATTTACCCTCGGCAGTATTTATAGCACTTATGCTAGTGGGGCCGAGCAAATTCCTGAAACAAATAATTCAAATTGAACTTAACAGGGTTAAGAATCCCAACTGGCCGGAGGCAAACCAGCTGGCTATTTACAAGCATGGTCGAGGATTTGAACTCGGGACTACCGTGAACAAATCCAGCTAGCGGTCAGAGCGGGACTTGAACTCGGGGCCTCCGAATTGCAAGTCCGGCGCTCAAACCACTCGGCCTCGTCGCCAGCCGCGCTCTACGTCTGCCAGAAAAGTATTAACAGTTTCTCCTAAAAACTGTACCTAACAAACCATTCTATCTGAAAGAAAAAAAAAATTTAAACTATTTTAAGAAGCAGTACAAATCGATCCGTGCCGCTTGTCACGTTCAAATTGATGTATTATGTTACATATGAAGTCATGCAGATCGACCTTCGAACATCGACGCGCGCCCGTTTCTTTCGTTCAATATTTCTAAAAACATTTTCTGTAGGGTTTACTAAAGCCTGATTCAACAAGCCAACACTGTTATGTTTAATTTTTCTGCCCACTTAACTGAACACTGCACTAGAAGCAAGAGTGTCCGGCCAGGCGACCGGGAATTTTTTTTTCATTCGCCCGAAGCTAAATGTTAGTCTCCTCAGGCGACCGGGCGCCGTTAGAGCACAGCCTTGGACTGACGAACATTTTTCTCATGTATTCACCAGAAGTAAAATTCATCATCACATTTCCATCAAAGAGAGTATTAGTATAACAATATCATCATTTCTGTCTCTCCTTTTCAGTCCTTTGTTAGCGTCATCTGAATCGGGATCAACTCGTCACCAACAAGCTTCAGAAATGTTCCAAGGCCTTGAGTCGCACTCTGTATTACATGTCCTGCACAAGTCTGTCAGCCTAGCGTATCTTCCCGAGAAAGAAGTCTTTGAACTTTTAAGAAAGAGACCTGTATTTACTCCTTTGGAGCCAGGCAAAGAATTGCAAGACGAAGAGCAAGAAACTTTTGGAAAAAAGCAAGATGGAGGTGATGGTCTTCCGAAAAGACTTGGTGAGAAGAGAGAAAATTCCGAAATTCATCCTGAAGTTCAAAGGGATATCTTTCTCTACCATAGCTATTGTGCACTAAAGAATTTCATGGAGGCTGTTGCGTCTTCAGCAGACGATTTCTACGGAAAAGCGCTTGATAAGAGCTTGCAGAGTTCAACATCAGTCACAAGTGGTGATGCTGAATTAGGGGTTGAGGAGAAGACGTATCTTACACAAGTTGAGAACAAGCTAGAAGCTGGAAAGGCTCACTTAGCCCAAGTGTATCCTTTGACTTACCGAGTGGAGATTCTTGAGAATATCTTTAGTCTCCTATTTGGTACTTTTGAAGACTTGTATGAAGGTAGAACTCAGAAAAATGAGAGCGATGATTTAGATACAGTGGATGAAGAAACGCGGAGTTTATCAACCAGCAATCGCACAGCGAGTTGGGAGAGTCTTGCGAGCTCTGTCGAACTATCCGTTGACGTCCATGGGTCGTTCAGTCCCACTAAAGACCAAGAGAAATTAACGAGCCCAGTATCCCTTCCAACTACCTCTGAGTCTCAGCACAAACAAAAAGAAACTTCCACCCCTTCTGGTGTTGATTCCTCGTCTCGTCGCCAGCTGTTTACACATAAGAGATCGGAGTCAGATTCAATTTTGTTTAAAAAGTTAAAGGATGCGACAGGAGATAATAAAGCTGCCGAGTCTCCCGTTTCTCGAGATGATACTGTTAAAACAACACATTCGGAGAATGATACTGTTCTCTCCAGTAAAGGATCGTCACGAACGGCTGTTTCTGATGAAAATGATTTAAAATGCGAGTTTGTGATTGATGATGGTGTTGTTCCCGATGTGTTGAAGACAATTAAGGAATGCTTGATGGAACTAAATGCTGCAAAGTTTGCTGAACTCAAGAAAGGTACGTCTCCTGGACCGTGTAGTTCGAAACCGCCTCACCCTTATATGTACATTACGCAACACCCGGCCCGGTTTCCGGAGAAAAGGTGTTGACTTTAAATGAGGATCAGTCACAATTTTGGGCAAATTTTTAACCCCTTAATTCATTTTCCGGTCTTTTGATTACTTGTGACTGATTTGATTAACAAGTAAAGATTTTTGGGGTCAATTTTCTGACCCGTTACTATTGATTCATTCCTTGGGTGTTTCCACCAGCTCCTAAGCTTTTCAATTGTCGATGAGTTAAAGTTTCAGTCAAAATGTACAGAGATGCCCCTGATAGTCTCCCGTATTCTTACGTATAGCGATACTCACTGTTGTTATTCAAATGTGTAACGAATGAAACGAAGAATCTTTTGTTTCGAGAACCAACTGGAGTGCGCTTTAAAAGTGCGCTTCTGGTTGAGTCATTTATATCAATAAGTAACGTCACAACCTCGTTCCCAATGTTCTCCCTTACCCGTCCGTACGGAGGAGAGAGGGACAGGTAGGAGAGAACCCCTGAGAACGAGGTTAATGACGTCAGTGTGGGTGCCGCTATATGTTAAATGGTTGTTGGAAACTTTGTTACTGAATTCCTCTGTTTTGTTTCTATGTAGGAAGATCGGAACAAAGCTCCGAGAGCGAAGAATGGCTTCAAACGTCTGTTCGCCATAGCTCAATGGAACAGCGCATCTCCCGACTCGGTCAGTTCATCAATGAAGCACAATGGAGATTCCAGCTAGTGTCCTGGGACAACGGAACCAATCGACAGATAATTAGGAGTTCCAAGAAAAGGATGAACAGGAAACTGCAGCGCATAGCGAGCTCGGATGAGAACTGGAAAGCAGTAGCAGCTCAAGATGAAGACTCGGATGACACTTTGACAGAAGGCGCTAGCGGTGAGAACTGAGAGATAAAACGCTTTGATCGCTGTAAACAGTGCAACGATTTTTATGAAAATTTCCAAATTTCTGAGGGAAAAAAATGGTACCATGTGAGATTATTGCTGAAGAGTTTTCTTTTGACTGGTCACATCTTAGACTTTCATCCATAGACTCAAAAGTAAGAACCTGTTTAGACAGTGCAATATGATTGTACCTTGATGTGAAAAAAAACTTGCTAGAGAGGTTTCATTTGAATGGTCACACTGATAAGGAGGTTGGTTTTAAATGGTCCCGCCTTCGACCGCCACGTTTTTGTTTTTTTCTCAAATGCGCTGATGTTTTGTTTTTGACGTAATGCGCATGATCAGCAAACAAATGCGCTGGCAAGGTGATCGCTTTGGATTTCATTTACGAGAATTTATAGTAATAGCTTCTCCTCCTATCTCTTTTTAAATTTAAAGTGTTCGTTAGATAAGAATGTTTTATATATTTTTTTGTTTTATCATAGACTAGTATACACGACCCCTCAATATCTTAAGTGCTTTATAATTATCGTGTTTAAATAATGGATATTAATTTATTCATTCATTCATTCATCAAACAACACATGTAGAATGTCTTCCATTAACAAGCCTATGTCATATCTCGGTGATTGATAGGTTCTAACTTTTATGTCTGAGGAGTTAATCTTAAATTGTGAATATTCAAATAAAAGCTCTTCATCAGTAGTTTCTAATTTAATTTTGGCCCTCTTAGGAGAGAAGCTCTCTGAACTGAATTTTTTGTTGTTTGTAAAGGAAAATTAAAGTCAAGAAGGAAAGGTGCAGCCTTAAAGGAGAATTCCGGTGAATCAAGCTCTCATCTCAGCCAGGACACTGTTACTACAGGTAAAATCTTAATCAAGTGTCCACCCCAAAAATTCTTGCACACATTGAGCAGCAGTAGAATCTATAACCTTCTTGGTTGACGTTCGAAATGTTGTGCATGAGGAGAGAATGGGGAAAATCGGTTCCTTGCTGTCGGATTCTTGATATTCCCTTTCGACGGCTGCCAAGCTGGCTTTATAGCATCTCCGACGCGCGCAATTGTCGTTTTCATGTTGTGTTGAAGCACTTTGCTAATGAATTTGCATGTTTTCGCCTGAAGCTCTTAACGTCGGTTTTTTTTGTGCTTTTACCCACGTTTGAGGTGCAGCTCGAATAACACATTTTTTTTTAGGCAATGTTGCGCCGTGTGCTGGACTATAAATGCCACTTTAACGTATCATTGTTGTGGCTGCATCAAATTAAGCACATGTTCTTTTTTTCAGAACCAGAAGAAATCAAAGAAAGAGTCAGGAAAAGACGAACGAAAAGACGACGTCTGACCTCAAGAACCTCAGCCACGGAAATTTCTAACTTGTTGACCAAGGATGACAGTGTTATTGCGCGCATGCTCTCTTCCCCAGACACCCTCATCTACATGTGCATGAGAAAGGACAACTTTGAGCGTGCTCATCAGGTCATTAAAATGTTCAACATGGCGCAGGAACCCAGCGCACAAGCTGCATTGTTTGCAGAGAAGTACAGCAAAAGCGTAAAGCATCTGGAGAGTTTGCAACCCAAAGGGAGACGAATCATGGCGTCTCAAGGGCTAAGTAGATCTCGCAAACCTATGGGAGCTCTGGGAGCTGTTGCCATGGCAGCAGCCTCTGGTTCTTATACGTCACAAATTTCTAAACTCATCGACGATTTATTGACCACGCCGTCATTAGCAGCTGTCGTGAATCCTAGCCTTAACCCTGAGGACTTGACGAGTGGTAATTCAACACTGGTCAAGTATTTAAATCCACAAATGGTTCCCGCGATGCTGTGTATCGATATGGCCAGTACTGCCGAAGTTTCTTGGTCGGTATGTAAGACCTTGCTGGAGATGGCTAAAAGTCGGCTCACCGAAGGTAAGATGATTTTTGCAGGGAAAGCTTCAAAACGACAAATAAATTGGCCCATTTTTTTCAAGTTTCAATCCATGTCCATCCTTGCAATCCGTAGCAACAGATGGCGGAAAACAGTTTCATTGCCTAAGCATGGCCCTAAATAACAAAAATTGACCATTATTTTTTGGATTCAACTGATGCGAAGACACGTCAGTTTTAGCCTTTTAAAAAGATGGCAAATAATTCAAAGTCTAACTCTAATGAGGCTCAAGCTGAGCATTTTGTTTTCCTTCGAATCTTAAGCCCCGTGCAAACGGACGCAACATTGTTGGCCAACAACTCCCAACATTGTTGGATGTTACATGTTGCGTCCGTTTGCACACCCTGTTGCATGTTGTTGGATGTTGTTGCGCAAAGTTTGAAACCGGTCAGACTTTTCAGCCAACAACTCCCAACATTTCTTTTGTTCCATGATCGCCGAAGCGCAGCGCAACAATGTTGGATCCGTTTGCACAGCTCTTCCAACATTGTTGGGGCCACGTGCGCGCATTACGCATGGTTTACAAAGACTTATGGGTTGTATCCTTCCCACGATGCACTGCAGGTCCCAACATTGTTGGGAGTTGTTGCATCCGTTTGCACACCACTGCCAACACGCACGCAACAACTCCCAACATTGTTGGCGCAACAATGTTGGGAGTTGTTGCATCCGTTTGCACACCACTGCCAATACGCATACAAAAACTCCCAACATTGTTGGCGCAACAGTGTTGGGAGTTGTTGGGTCCGTTTGCACGCAGCCTTAATGTTTCTCTCGTTTAAAGACGATCATCGTGATGTTGGTTACACGTGATAATTAAGGCCTTCATTAATTGCAAAAGTAAGCCATGTCTTCTTATTTTAGACACTTCGTCCTCTCCTTCCAAGTCAAGTGCGCCCTTTCCAGGCGTCAAACTATTTATGAACCAGTTGGAGGAGCTACTAACTCAGGAACAGTCACGTGGTAGATCTAAGGCCTCCTCCAGTGGTCTCACCATCTCCATGACGCACAAACGAAATTCTCTGGAGTTGCTTCTTGTTGGAACGCATCCCGTGTGTCCGAAGAGTATGGAGGCTCACAAAAAGCTGCGCACACATCAAGAAGAAGCGTTCAGGTATATTTGCAATTTATTTAAACCAAGATACATCAGCATTATGACCGGTGATCACCAGTTTTTGTGCAGTTTTCAATGACTGTTGATTACTGTGGTGTGCTTGAAAAATGTATCGGACCGTAGCCTAAGAGAGATCTCCATTTAAGAATTGCAAAGAGGCCAAAAAAGAGGTGCAAGAAAAGCGAAGTAAGGATCTTTCGCAGCCCGCTCGGGTGTTAGTTTCGGCTCTCGCGATATCTAAAAATGAAGCTTTCTCACAGGATCGCTCGAAGTGTCCTGACTCTTTCCTGATACAGCGGGGAGTAATGTCCTGGAAATATTTTCAGAGCTGGTCCCGAGGGTGTCCCGCTTGGAGCTTGCTCACAGGAACGCTCGAAGTGTGCTGACTCTTTCCTGATACGGCGGTGAATAATGTCCTGGATATTTTCAGAGCTGGTCCCTAGGGTGTCCCGCTTGGAAGCAGCTCACTGTTTAAGACTGCTTTTCTGTACCGACATAGTTGTCGTCGTAATAATTACAATTATTCTAGTTGTAAGAGTGCTTATGACCTAATCAAAATCAACAATCGCAGTCGCAATCCAAAATGGTAAGAATCCGTCGGTTAGCATCCAGTGCAGCCTGGGTTCAATTTGCGGCGTCGATGCCACCTGTTGGTTGAGTTTGTTATTAATCAACACTTCTTTCTTCTTTCAGGCGACTGGAGCAAGCATTGGACGAAGGAGATACTTTTATGCAAAGCGTAGAAGAATTCTCGCAGAACGCACAGGCCCAAAGGAGTCTTGGCGGAAAAGCTTCGTTCGATCAAACGGAGAGGGGCCTGGCAGTGAGAATTGGACTAGTAGAGGTACAGAAGGCATTTGATTGCGTAGAAAGCTCTTGTCACGTGACCACAGCTGTTGGAGGGAGCCTGGAAGAGAGATGGGATTATATGAGCAGTTTGTTCAAACACGTTGATGCTCTTTCAAGTCTTCTGCTGTTTTGGAAGACGAAGTCAGCTGGTAAAGTGTAAACATTTTTTGTTAGCCCTTACAGATAGACGTCCGTCAACCTGAAGTGAGGACTTTTCCTTTCAATATGCCTTGACGTTTTAAAATTTGTATCGCTTCGTTACTTTTCACTTGTAGAGAAGATCTTTTCATCATCATCATCATCATCATCATCATCACCACCATCACCACCATCATTGTCATCGTCATTGTCATTGTCATCGTTATGGTTGTCATTATTATCATTATTATTAACGAGTGTTTTATAAATCAAACATTGCATTTCAGATTCTACTTCTTCAGTTCCCCCTGAAGTCGACATGAATCGTCCAAATGCTTTGAAAGCCTCCAATCCTTTTATTGTGTTAAATGAAGGCATCGCAGAAGCTCTTGGAGTTCCCATGTTTGAAAGAAACATTCCCCCTAAAGAGTGAGTGTCTGTGTTGTGATCGCCGGGGTAAAGTTTACTGTACTTTAAGCGCATTTAAATATAGCTCAGCAATTGAAAATAAAATAGACCTAACATTTTTGTTTTGCGCTGAAAATCTTGGGGTCTTCACGTTCAACGGTGGAGCGGCCATTTTCCATTATGTCGCTATCGAAATCTGGAAAGACGACTTGATTACTGTGGGTACGGAGGGTAGATCGAAGAATTTACATAGGAGCGATAGAGAAGGCAAATGCAAACTCCCCTTCTGTTCGTTAACAATGCCACTCAGATATAACATGGGAAATATGGGAAACTATTATAGTTTAACTCTTGAAACCATGTTTTCTTTGCAGTTTGGAGAAAGCAGCTAAAAAACTCCACGTCAATTTATCCAAGGTAATAGTGTACAACTGCTGCCCTCCTGTAAAGGCTCGCGGAGGAATCAGTGACAGAGGTCTGTACAAACTCCGTTTTGATTAGGTCCGGAGGGAACTAACTTACTAACTCACTACACTACTTTTGAAACTACTCGTCTTTTAAAACAGTTGACCTCTGGGCAAAAGTCTTCCCAGGTCTTGCTTCCGCGTTTGCTTTGCTTTTAAGTTACTCGGCTTTGGGATTCGTTGGGAAATCTCGCTTCATTTAATTGACCAATCATAGCTTGCTAATAATAATAGTAATTAAAATCTTGCTCATAGCCGTTTTCCCGCCACTGGCAGCCGCTTCTCGATTTTATTTCTTCGAAATATCGCGCCATTTTCTCGACCAAAAATAGCCTGCTTACACCCTTTTCCCCGTGATTGGCCGCCGCTACACGATCTTTCTTTGAGATATTTTTTAAGTTGCTTCGCCTTGTGATTTGCTGAGAAATCTCGCGCCATTTTCCCGACCAATCATAGCTTGCTCGCTCCCGTTTTCCTGTCATTGGCAGCCGCCACGCGTTGTTGCTTTGAGTTATGTTTGTTTCAACTGATGTTGTGACTGGCCTGAGAAATTAGTCTGGATTTACAGTACAACTGAAAACCGCTGTAAACCAAAACCAGTTGACTTGTGAAGGGTGTTGTCTAACCCGCGCTGTACCGTCTGTTGTTTTAAGATTTTTCTCTTGTTGATAGATGTTCGGTGGCCTTCCTCTGATCCTGTTATCTTGAATTCCGGCAGCAGATGGACCGAGAGTGTTCGAGACCCCAATACTGTGGCTAAGGATTTGTTGTCACGTATGATTAAAATGCTTAAAGGTAATAAATTATTTGTTACACTATCCGGTAATAATTATTCATTACATGGTCCATGAAAAGATATGACTGTCTTTAAGTGAGCTGTTTTCAGTTTTTCACAGGCTTGAAAACTCGTTAAAGAACCTTCTTGAAAGATACTAGTTAATTTTGTTTTTGATTAAAAGCGATAAAATATCAGTTCATCAACTGGCTTTTCCTTGCTGCTATATGCCAAACATTTCAAGCATAACTTCCCAAAACGAAGAAAAAAAGAAAACATTTGACTATCGTAGCAAATGTGTACACTGAACAAAGCATCTACATCAATGCAACACGTTATTTGTGAAAAAAATGAAATCATACATTTGCGTTGAATAGGTTTTTCATCCTTACCCAGTTTTCAACCCTAAGGGAAGTGAATTCCTATTTCATGCAAGGCGCATCTCTGGAAAAAAGTTTGATTGTGGTGGTATTTAGTTTGTCTAAAGCTCTGGCACTGGAAAAGTAGTTTCAAAATAGCTTACTGACCATTGTGTGATGTTGTACTTGAGACTGGGTCTTTGTCGTGTCAAATTGCATTATGGGATTGTTTTGAAGGACGAATTCTGACCCAGTTTCCAGCGCAATTTTGTAATACGAACAAGAAGTGATTTTGAAAAGCATTTAACTATAAAAAATTGCGATAAAACATTTCTTAAAATCATTTTAAGATTAAAAAATTGCTAAAAAACGACGACGTTTCGACGTTAGCTGAACGTCATTATCAAGTCAAAATAAGTTAGTGATTTTTTGGTCTATAAATACTAAAAACAACAATAGCTGATTGGAAAAAAATTGTAACGTGAGAAAATATTAAACAAAAGTTTTCGTATGGAGTCCGTCTGAATATTTAAATTGGGCTTAAACTTCTTGATGAAGAGCATTTCAAATACTAAACAATCAAATTTCTCTGGCACTTTTTAAAAATGAATTGGCTTTTTTCAAAAGGTTGTTGTTACCGTGAGCTTCTAAGAAATGTCTACCGATTGCGAATTTTTGTGGTCAGCAATTGTTGATGAACGGGCTGTGTACCCGACATAATCTGCATCGCACAATCGCCATGAAAATTGGTAAACAAAGGACTCTTATTAACAATTGACGGCTTGATTTCTTTGGGTCAAGCCATCACGAAAACGCAAAGTAGGGGCAATCTTATGGCTAAGATCGAACTTACGAAAAGCGTCATCTTTAAAAAGGAAGGCTACTATCATCATTGTTTCTTTCTGCTTTGTCCGCTGAGGAATTTAGAAAAAGAAACTTTTTGATAGCAGAATCAATAACACTCATTGGATAGTCAAGGCGACTAAATATAGAGCGCAACTTGGCACATTCAGCATTTTTTAAGAAATGTTTTATCGCAATTTTTTATAGTTAAATTTTGTAATAGCCAATGAAAAAAATGACAGCGTTCCCAAAAAAGTAATCTTCTTTTAGATGTGGCGCATGCGGTCACGCCTGATTCAATAAGGACTCCAGAGTTCCAAGCCATCCCGTCCGTTGATGATTCAACTTGGGCCTGCTGAACTCAGAAGGCTAAATCGTCAATACCTAATTTCCAGACATGGTTCATGATTCAATTTGCTGACCCGTCCGTTGATGATTTAAGTGAGGTATCGTCTCCTATTGCCAGACATGGTTCATTCACTCGGCTCGTAGATGCGTTATCAACTTCCTCTGGGGGAGAGAGCAAAGGCGGAGAACATGTGCCCTTGACGTCCCTGGAGAGAATTTCGTTCCTAAAGCAGCATTGTTACTTTATAGGGCAGCTCGGTGTGGTAAGGTAAGAAATGAAATGTCACGTGATCAACGACAAAAAAATTCAAGTTCCAAATTCCAGAATGGTCAAATTGATTGGCTCATGACAGACTGACTGAATTTGAATTTCTGACTGGGTTTTCAAAAAGGTACCTACTTGAGATTATCGCTATTTGAGACCGATGAAGGCCGGTCCAACAAGTCTCAAAGTCATACCAGCGGCAGAGCAGGACTAGGAAACAACGAAGAGAAGGGAAGAAGTAGACGGAAGAAATATTGGGTGCAGTCTAGATTTCTGATCAGATAGCTCCATAGCAACAGCCATTATAAAGCATGTAGCATTTTAAAAACCCAGTCAGATTTGTATGCTAGGAAATTTTTATGCTCTTTTTACATTTTTACCCCCTTTGACTGTCCATTCGGTGCTAGTTTTGTCTTTGTTTTGTTACTAGTGCGTTTGATCTTCAATACGTTATTTTACACAAGGGACTTGTGCCGCCAAGCACGTTTGGAGAGGGTGTCATCATGTGCTTCCCAGGTAAAATTTGTAGTTTTTCTTCCTTCACTTTGAAATTGTCAGAGACTGTTTTAATGAAATCGCTGAATTCAGCATGCTGCATTTAGTGCACGCTGAAGAATCGATTAGCTCCGAAATGCTTGTTTTGATCACAGTACTTTTGGCACTTGGAACAATTCTCCTGATTATTACATTTTGAGTGCTACGCGGCAAACAACACTTTTTGTTCTAGGCGAATTCACACCCACCCACATTTGGAATAAATTGGAGAAAGCTTCCACCATCGCCTTACCCTCTCCTCTCCTCCTCGTCGTATCCCCTCCCCCTCCCCTTCTTCCCCATCACTTGTACGTGTGAGGTTTATGAGACTAATCAACTTTGTTCACCGTGATAAACTTTTTCACACAAGACTACCTACGTATCCATCAGCAACAGCTGTGCTTCTCAGTTCCCCTTTTCAAATTGAACCTTGTAAGTGGGTTAATTTTTCCCGCCAAATGTTCATTCATGATGGTATGTTTAAAAATTTTCAGAGAGAACAACTGATGAAGTCAAAAGGAAATACAGGCTGACCGCAGCAGAAAAACGAATCATCTTTGCCATTTGCGATGGCTGCTTGACATCGCCGGACCTTCAGGTAGGTGTTTTGGTGCAAATCAATCACTTGTCCATTTGGATGCGCGTTCAGACGAACACTTTTCGGGGCAAATTTTCGTGCTTTAAGATCGAAAGAAACAGGCTTTTCAATATTTTTAGCGAGTTTTAATTTCGGAAATGTATTTTATACTTACTGAAGAACTGAAAACAGCAAAAAAATTTCGTGTCATATACACTTTAAAGCTTTCCAGACACTGTTTTGGGTATCATTCGACAGTGCTTTAAGACGGTAGTGTTTGTTATGATGTGTAAACAGACACTGACTTTAAGCCCGTGGAGTCTGTTAAATCCTATGATACGACTACTCAAATGAAACCTCTTCAACAGTACTGTTATATGGTACTCTTAATTATGCTCTAAAAACACGTTCTTACTTTTGCGTCTGTTGTCAAAATCCTACTATGTCACCATTCAAATGTAACCGCTTCAGTAGAAGTGAAAGGGCTAATGCCGATTACCAAAATACTGCGAAGTAGGACCACATTTAATTTACCTTTGTCTTGCTTTAAATTCAGGTGTTTGATGTAGACGATTTTGAGGCAGAGCTGTCAACCGCTGTACGTTCGTACATAAATTCCCGCGTAACACTCAACCAGGAGACAGGACAAATAACATTGCCTGAAATCCTTCACTGGTATAGAAAAGACTTCGAAATAAGATCTTTTAATACAATAGACTCTCCGGCCGGACATGATGTGTCCCTTTTACTTCAAATGGAGCCCTATCTCTACGATAAAGCCGCGGCAACGCTACAGCAAATGCTCCCAAACATCACTGAAATTACCTTCACCCCATTTTGTTGGACGTTTGGCTACAAGTTTGAGTCCCCTACACTCGAGCGTTCTTCCTCGAGCTCAGTCTTCCAGCGGTCCAACTCTGTTCCCGACAGTATTTACTTGAGCATGGAGTTGTCAGTTCTTGCGAGAACAAGACAAACCGAAAAAAGAGGCTTGTTTAGCTTAAACGATGCCACGCTTGAGTATTTAAAAGAAAAGTCACCGCTAGTCGCGGCGTTAGCAAGGTTAGTTTGCTCTGCTTCCGAAACATCACAGAGCGTAGCGGAAAACAGCTCAGTGACCTCAAGCGCAACTTTAAAGAGTAAAAATGTGGACTCCAAAGACGAACCAATAGAATTTCCTTTTCTAGTAGCTCTCGAGGAAACTAAACAATTTCGATTTCTTCAGCGCTACATCGCTTGTAAACTGTACACGATAGCGGACATGTTAACATTAGCTCCAGTAGATTCAGAAGAATCGGGTGGAAGCTGTGGCAGTTATGATATCATCAAGCTTGATTCCAATCTGCATTATCTACAAGACGGCACGCATGTCCCGGAAATTTCTCTGTTCTCTGTGGCTTTAGCTTCTGAGGGAAGCCGGCCTATGCAAAATGCTATCCTCAAAGCTAGCGATTTTTTCTTACGCAAAGGTTACTTTGAAGATCTATTAGAGTTAATAAGTTCCTCGGATCTTCGCGGCGATGGCGTCGGAGGTCCGGGTATTGATTTTCTACTGAGCTCTGCGATTTTGAGCAAAGGAGGAACCAGATCGGATTTTCGTGAAAAATTGAACACTGTCTTCAATGAACTTGGGATTCCTGAGTTGAAGTTCAGTCACTCGGTGCATAAAAAACCATGGACTCTCCTTGCAAGAATGAAAGACCACAATCATTTGGCCCAGCTGGTTTTAGGAAAGCTGGACGAATGGAATGCTAAAACATGCATTGACATGATCGATTTGTGCTTGTCTCGTCCGCTTAAAAACGCACGCGCGAAAGACGACTTGGAGAAGAAGAAAAGAGAGATAGCCTTACATCAAAAGGTAATTATCATTCCGCAGGTAAGGGAAACGCCGAAAATTGTTCGGCATCTCTTCGCCACTTTAGAATCAAGGAGTAAACTGGGCCAAGTTAACTTTTCGTAAAGACTTCTGGGATTGTTATTGAGGACAGGGGGAAAATGGCCAATAGCTGACCGGTGCGTCCCCAGTAATAGCCTGTTCCAGGCTCCGAGATAGAGGTGAAAAGTCGTTCAGTAAAAAGAATGCGAAAAACGCGCAGGGGCTGGGGAGAGACAGGGCAGGTTCC